TTGTTACCAGCAGCTGGTGGCAGGGGAGTATCATAATATCATCACAGCCCCCTATCTTGAGGGTTATCCAAGGACAACATAAATACTTAGATTTCCATGAGACCAAGTGTCATCACTGGATCCTACAAATGTGAACTGGATGGTCTCGCCCTTCATGTCAGAAACCTCCTATCCATCCATCTGCCTCGACGGTTCCCTCTTGTCTGATCTACCTTCCTCCAAGCCACACAGATGCACCTGCCTGTCAGTGGACATTCTTGCAGAGCACAAATGTGGGGTGTTAGCAAGCCCAGTCCATCCCCTTGTCAGACTTCCCAGATATGGAGACAAATGACTATAGAGCCCCCCAAGATCTCTTCCTTGAGTAAGTGTGCAGCCTCTTAATTTTTCTATAAAGCTCTATATTTAACATATCTAATGTACATTAAATATCTTTTTAAAGATATTTAATCTATATATCTAATATATTCCCTCACCCAGCTATTTCTCTACCCCACCACTACCCCATTTTTTTCCCCAGTATCCTCGTGTTCTGAATGGTGCACTTTAAGTACAGGGAGTGACCCATGTGGAATGTTAGAGATTGGGGGTTGCCTGTGGGGAGAGGCAAGGAGCAAGTTCTGATATCCAAGGCCAGTGGAGGGCCTGGGGAGACAGGCCAGCAGCAACCCCCTCCCCCGTCTGGAGTCTCCCCTAGACCACACTCGCAGATAACTCCATTTCCAAATTGAAATTTGGTTGCGTGGTCGGCAGCACTGGGAGTTAATATTTCTATCACTGTATTTAGGAATTAATTTCTAGAGAACTTAATCACCACCTCTCTCCCTCTCTCTCACCCCCTTCCTTTCTCCATTCCTCTCCCTTCTAATTTTCCACTTGGCTGGGAATTCTCCAGCAGTGAAAGTTCAGGCTTAGGGGAGGGCGGAGGGAGCTGCTTCATTAGAGAGGATAATCTGCTTGGAACCACTGACTTGAATAATAACCCCTCCAGGGACCAGGACCTTTGTTCCCAGGGGCTGTTATCACCTCCAGTGTGGGGCTGGAAGACCCAGCTGCAGAGAAAGTGGAAGGAGGCAGGGAGGTAAAGGAAGGTTGGCAGGGAAAGACTCCAATTCTAGGGGGCCTAGGCATCTTCTCAGGGCCTCCTTCCTGCCCTAATCCATCTACAGGTCTCTGTTCGGATGGGGTGACAGGGTGTTGGTACCTAGGAATGTCTAAAAGCTCACAGTCATATAGGATGCACTTTTTAAGTCCTTATGAATTCCAATTTTCCTGCTTGGAGAACAGATGAAGTGGTTTCTTCCTCTATTCCAGATGCTGGAATGGAAGGAAATGCTGTAGGAGGCACCTATAGCCCCTTGGAAAGAACGTCTAGGCCATTCCTGCTGCCCTCCACCCCTCAAGAGTCATGAATGGACCCTTTGCATATTTCCTAGTTCTTGCCTGGGCTAGTGGGAAATCACAGGCCTAGCACAGCAGAAGGCCATCCCTGGGACCGACCCCATAAGAACTCAGAAGGCTTTCATTCTTCTCCATTATCCTGCCACCTCTAAGGTCAATCGTCTGTGCTTTTGGACACTTACAACCTCCACCCCCGTGAACTCTGAGGGATAGTAGAAATGTCAAAACATCTCTGACACTGACCTTAAACTTGACTTTCCACAAGGAAAGCTGAGTTCTCAATTCCCTCTGACAGCTCGGAAGAAGGTAGGGCTGCAACCCTGACCACTCTTTGCCTTTTGTCTCCCTCCTGGCCTCTGGGCTCCCCTGCCCTCATTAAGAGGAAATCTATCCCTGTCTTTCTATCTTTGATTTGCCCAATGGGCTGTCTGAGAGCAGATCCATATTTCTGAAGCAGCTGCAGTTTGGAGGGCTTGTATGAGAAGGGCGGGGAAGGAATGGGCTAATAACACTGGCTGACCTGTGCTGGGGGCCCAGCACGTATGGGCCATGCCTGATTCTTAATGCTTTCCTTGAATAATCTCATTTAATCTTCATAGTAATCCCATCAGATAGATGCTATTTTTGGCCCCATTGTAGAGGTAAGAAAATAAGGCACCAAGAGGTTATATAATCTGCCCCAAATTACACAGATAGATGGGATGTTTAAAACTGGAAGTGATCTGTAATAAGTCACTTGGAGACAAACACCATATGACTTCACTCATGTGGTCAATCACAAAACAAAACCAAAGAACAAAAAAAGCAAAAGTAAATAACAAACTCTCAGACTATGAGAACAAAATCGTGGTTACCAGAAGGGGAAGAGGGAGGAGTAGATAAGTTGTGTAAAAGGGGGTCACCTCTATGGTGAAGAAGCAAACTAGACTTCCGGTGATCAGCATAATGTAGGAAATACAGATGTGGGTGTATAACCCTGTATTTCAAAACCTATATAATGTTACACATCAACATTACATCAATAAACATTAGAACAAATTTATGGCATGCTATAGCTGGCTTCCCTGGTGAACCCTAGGTTTTGGGGAGATTATGGGAAGTTTTGGGGGTGCTGAAGATCCATAGCAGAATGCAGCCATGTGAACTTTGGGAGCAACAAGCCGAGCAGCTGAGGACTCATCTGAGGTTCCCCTAAGCAGCTGCCTATGTTTCCCCCTGCAAAAGAGATGGAGTTCTTGCTCTTTGGCCTAAATCCCTCTTTGGTAACTCGAGGTGATGTTTGACCTACAAGCAGCTTCATTTTTCCTCTTTTTCATAATTTAATCAAAGAAATTTTTCAGACCTGCTGATTGCTCTTGGAAATAGGAACTTCAAAGTTGGGGAGTCAGTGAATAATTTAAGCCTGTACCAGCTCTCTGGGTCTGCTGTTAATGGGAGTAATAACACTATTAATAGCGATGTCAGTGCAGACACCCAGGAAAAGTCCATAACATTAGCTTAATGGCTGGAGGTAATGAAGTCCTCACAGAGAGGCTGGTAAATTAACTCCCATGACTTTTAGGCACACAGCCTGGGTTGCCATGGTCAGCTCAGTCACCGGGGGCACCCCAGAGACGACCACACTCACGTCTGACCTTTCACTTCTGGGCTGAGATTCTAAGAAGGGACCTGGAGAAATCACAAATCTCAATGTCATTCAAAGTGCTTCCCAGTGGCAGGCAGAAACAGCCATCACCTCGGAGAAGTTGAGGGGAAATTAGTCTATTGCCCAAAGTCTATGATGGAAACAGCGAAATGTTCACCTGTGCTCAGATTCTGCCTGTTTCTGATTAGCCTCTGAGGAGGGCAGTGACTGACCCCCCATCTCTGCAGTTTCCTGATCTACAAGGTGGAGTTTTAGACGCTACTCCCCCACCATTTGTAGAAAGATGGATGACGACCTCATGCCCCCGATCTTGGTGCTTCCTTTTGCCCAGGAACTGGTCCCTGTGGTTATATTATTCAGAATTGTTTTTTGCTTCCCCTTCCACATCCAGTGTACTCAAAGGTCATCCTTTTTGTCCAGATATCTCCCCTTCCTTTAGTCCTCATTGATTTTCCCTTCGTTTGCTAAGTGCTCCCGAACTCCACCGTTGGGTCTTCCCTCCCCCTGAGGCCACAGGTGTCTTCCTTATGGGAAAAAAGACACAGCTCTAGGCCTGAGATTCACCACAAGAGCAGCTCAGGGTATCCAGACAGCTCTCATCCCTCATATTTTGCCACACACCTCACCCCTCTGCTTCTTGAGGCACAAGTTCCCTCCACCATCTCTCCCTCCCCATGCAAGATCTGGTCCCGGCTATTCTGTTTCCTTCTAAACTCCTTGCTCCATGCTCCCTCCTGAACAGTCCCTGATAATCTTCTCCCTCTGTGGAGTCTGTTGTCTTTAACCAAGGGACCAGCTGCCCAGGAGGATGTGCCTGCAGTCACATCTTGTTTAACTTGTCCTCCGAGGACCTGCTTCCCCTCACGTCAGAGCAGAATCACTAACAGTCTCCAAATATGGCTCCTCAGTGATGGTCTGGCTTGTCTGGCTTGTCTGACTTGGGTTAAATGTTCTTCCCTAGAACTCAGCGACCTTCCTGCCACAATATCCCTGGTCCCAGCCCTTCCCTCGTGTCTAATGTGTACAGTTGGGTGATGGCCATGATTTTCGAATGCATCTTTCAAAGGGCCCCATCAGCGAAGACTAAAATTCCAGGTGAACCTGGATGGGGTCCACCTGTGGTCACACTGCTTTGAACAACACAGGACACTGAGCCTAACAGCAAACCTCCAGCACTTCCCTCACACCGCAGCCCAGGGATTCCATGCGGGGCAGCCTGGCTCCAGAGCTTACTCTGGACTACTGCACTCTGCTCCTCTCTCCCCCCCCTCTCCTCCTTCCACCTGCGTGTATCCTCCCTCTGCGGGGCCTTGAGGGCTACAGAGGATTCCCAAATTAATCAAGCATGGTTGCTCCTTTTGAGAGGCTCATGCGTGGCAGGAGAGGGCTGCCCTCAGCCCAATCATTGCAGTGTCCTCTGAGAAGTTCTAGACTGCAGGGAACTCAAAATGCTCTTAACTTTGCCTGGGGTGGGGTGAGGTGGGGTAGGGGCTGAGACACCGGGACATGTAGTTGGACCATACCTACGAAGATCAGGGGAAGTTGAGCAAAGGAAAACTTGGGGTGGGGGGCGGTCCAGACAGGGGAGCCCTCATGCACAAAGGCAAGAAAGCCTAAAGGACTATGTGCTGTGGAGGGAACAGGTTGTGTTTCCCTAAGGAGGAGGGGAGAGGGACCAGGAGGGAGGGGACTGGAGAGGTAGAATTGACAGGCCTTCGCGATTCCTGTTGTGAATGAGAGGACTTTGGGACGACCCTCAAGTTCTTGCGTTCAGCAGCGGGTGGTTAGAATGACCATCATTTCCGTGGGCATGATGGGAGGAGAGGACCAGGCTGCAGGAAGGACACCAAGCAGCCGGGCCTGGCGTTTGACTTGCCTCGGGAGCGCTCACAATGCCGGTTGTGTCTCTGGGCCCGGTGCCTGCTCCTGAGCGGCCGCTCCTCTGCCTTCCCAGGTGCACCAGGAAGGAGCGTTGCGAGCGGTCCAGGGAGCCCCGCAGGTTCGCCTCGGAGATGAAGCAGTGCGTCCGGCTGACGGTCCATCCCAGCAACATCTCCGTGTCTCAGTACAGTGTGTTGGTAAGGGCGCAGCAGCCAGGGCCAGGGTGTGGGAAGAACCCTCTCCCCATCAGAAAGGCGCAGTGCCCCTCAGGAGGGCCGGGCAAACCTGGCCAGCAGAATCACTGCAGAGCCAGGTGGGGTGACCAAGGATGTACCGCAGGATGGAGGGGGCTGCTCCTAGGAATATTGGGGTGGGGAGACAGGGAAAGTTGTGATACTGAAATGATCAAAAGGGCGACCGAGAGGGAGGTGGGTCTTTGTCTCTAAAATGTGTCCAGTGTTTAGAGAGAGGGCGAAATGCAGAAAGATGGTTCCCAGCTCCTTGCACTGGGTCCCTGGTAGTGGGGCCGCCATTTTGCCAAAATTGGAGATAAATGCAGAAGAACCTCCTCAAAATATCTTAGTCCTGCCCAAGTATTTCTTGCTACCTACAAACCCTCTGAACATTCCTGTTTCCTGGGGCCAAAGCCATTCAGTCTATTGAAGTTTTCTTGCTGTTTATTTGTGCGCACCCACCACCTTCTCAGTGTGCTCTTACCCTCGCTGGGGGCTCTTCCACTCCGTGTTAATATTACCTCATGTTTCTCTCTCTCTTCTTCCTGTCTGATCTCACTGGTTCTCCCTCTTTCTTCCTTTGCTGCATACCCTTCCTGTTCCTGTCCTGCGCCTCCTCTCTCTCTCCTTTTGAGCTGTTCACAGCTGGTCCTGGAGACCTACAATGTCCCAGAGCTGTCAGCTGGCGTCAACTGCACCTTTGAAGACCTGTCAGAGATGGATGGGCTGGTGGTAGGCAATCAGATCCAGTGCTACTCCCCAGCAGCCAAGGAGGTGCCCCGGATAATCACGGAGAATGGTGAGTGGTCCCTGGAGGCAAAGCTGGGTGGCATGTCCTTCCTCCTGCCGGATGAGGAGCACTCGGGGCAGATGGGGCTGGGGGGAGCCTACAGGCAGGGGAGGTGTGGGGTGGCCGGTGTGTTAGAGGAAGAGGGGATGAGTATCCTCCCACTGCCCTTGGAAGTGACTGTTGAAATCAGGTAAGTACCCAAGAGTCAGCCTCCTCCTAGCGGAGTTGCAGCTGCAGGAAGGGTGGTAGAGGCAAAGCCAGAAAGAATCAGAGGATGTGTGGAGTCCCAAGATTGTGCTGGAAGGGGAGAGGATGGCAGGGAGGCACAGTGGAGGAGAGGATGTTGGTCAGGAGCAAGGTCAAGTCAGTCAGGGGTACCGGGGTCATCTGGCTCTTTACGCTCGCCCTGCATGACTGGTGTCTGAACCTGAGCCTCTCCCTCCCCCACGCGCAGCCCCTGCCCATTTGTGGCCAGCTGCGCAGGAAAGGAGGGGTGGATGCTGGCGAGGGACAAACGGGCCTGGGCAGCTTGATTCCACGTGGGCCCTCCCATTTGGGCTTGTCACATTTGTTCGCAGCTGATTGATTAATGAGGCTCTTGGGGAAGGCATAGAACAAGGCTGCAAGTGGGGGCCTGGGGTCAGGGCTGTGAATTAAACATGGGCTCCAGCTCCTCCCTGGCGCCAGCTGAGGATTCCAGGGCCTCCCACCCCAGTGGAGCACTGAGCCACTAGAAAAGGGGGCGTCAGAATAGGTTGTTCGTTGCAGAGCTGAGGGATGAGCGCCTATGTGCACACACAATGACTTCCATGCGAAACCTCGTGTACTTTTTGTGGCAGCTTTACTGAGAGCTACGTGTGTGTGTGTGTGTGTGTGTGTGTGTGTATGCATGAGAGGAAGTGATGAGCAATGATGAGCAAATGTGGGGTGGGTGCCAGGGATACCATGTGGAAGAAGGAAGAGATCAGAACCTCACTCTGCAGCCACTCTCAAGGTTGTCCTGGGACTGGGCCCTGCTGAACCAGAGTCCTGTTAGAGTTGCAAGGCAGCATGTTAGCACCCACAGGGGAGCTCGCTTCCCTTTCTCCAGGTGCATGATTCTCAAGGGAATCCCACCACAGGGCCACGGCCTTCCCCCTGACTCACGTCACTGTACTTGTGATTCTGCCCCACAGGGGACCACCACGTTGTCCAGCTGCAGCTCAAGTCCAAGGAGACAGGCATGACCTTTGCCAGCACCAGCTTTGTCTTCTATAACTGCAGCGTCCACAATTCGTAAGTACCCCCAACCTCATGCAGCTCCCTGCTCCTGGGGTCACAGTTCATGCAGAGATAGAAGACCCCACCACTGGTCCCCAGGAGTTACCATCTTGAGGCCCTATAACCAGGCAGACCCCGCTCTTCTGGTGCCCATAGGGTTAATGGAAAGAGGCAAGAATGAGCAGAGAGAGAGGACCTGTGGGGTGGGGAGCTGCAACTCCCCAGCTCATACATCTTCTCTGGCACAAATCTGTCTAACATGATGCAGCTTCCACCATCTGTTGGGGAGGGCAGAGCATCTCACCTGCGGAGCAGAGCAGCCAGCAACCCTGGAGAGAGGAGGGTTCAAAGGAGAAGAGGGGACCCCATGTGAGTCCAATGAGTCACCTGGATGCCCTGCAGGCCGGGTCAGGACTCAGGCTGGTGGGGGTCAGAGGGAGGCAGAAAGGCGCAAGCAGGCAGCTCTGCCTTGGGGTCTGGCTCTGATCCCGTTGGACTGAAGCATCCACTTCCCAGAGGAAGGCAGGCAGGGCAGAGGCTCGAGCCCTGGATTCAAACCAGCCAGGAAACTTGGCCAGGTTGTGGCCCGGGGTCTTCTGTCAATGGGGAAATAGTCCTCCTTCCAGGGAGGCTACCCAAACATTTAACAGCTGGCCTGGCCAGAGCACGCTGGCGGCTGCCCCTGCTCAGCCCAGGGGATGGCCGTGAGTCTAGAGAGTAGCCAGATCCAAGCCTAGCCAGTGTTAGCCACTGCTCATGTTTTTGTGGTTATTACTTTATCATGTCCTCGCTACAGCAATGAACTTGGACGAGATACACAAAACAGATGGAAGTAGGGGCTACTCTGATTGAGGGTTCAGGGGACCTGGAGCTCTCAGCTAGGAACCCCACACATCTCATACAGTCTCCAGGATGCTTCATGGAAATGCCAGGGTTCCACAGAGCACACTTTGAAAAATATAGGACCTGATCTTTAAAAGCCCTGCTTGTTTTCATATGCCACCTGACTTCCTCTCTGTACAGGCCAAGCTAGTTAACATAACCCAAGTGATTTGGGCTCCAGGATGATGAGGTGTTAGGTTCTATCTATCTGGTGATGGCAGCATTGAATCCAGACCTTGGTTGTCTTTGGGGACCCCAAGTACGAGGCAGCCAGACCCCACAGCCAAACCAAGTAGCTTCAACACTAGAATTCTCTTCCTGCTTCTTGCCACAGAGATCCCCGTGGCTTTGCCTGATGATGCAATGTCTTGCTCCCCATGCCCCTCTGCTAGGAAAGTAGAGGTGAAATCGCATGTGACATTTCCACTTAATCTATAAAACCATCTTAGCCATCTACTATGTGCAAGGCAATGTGTTACTCGTAAGGCAGAAAGTATCAACAATTAATAAGATGCAAAGACTCAATACCTGGCCTCTAGGAGCCATGGGCTAGTGAAGTCGTGAATGAACTGGACAGTGAATAAGTAAAATGTAACACAGCAAGGCCAGTCCTGTCCAGAAACGTGCACAAAGGCATTCATGGGATAAGGACCTAGGGAGATCAACTCTCCACTGGACAAAGAAGGTTGATTTGCTGGCCAGGTGGAGGAGGGGAATGGTACTCTGGGCAGAAGGATGGCATGGGCTGGGGGTGTGGACATGGCCTTCTCATGGACACAGCTCCAAACACAGGTGGAGACCTGGACATTAGGAAGGCTCAGGCTGCCTGGTAAGACATTAGGTCTTACCCTTTGGAAAAAGGGAACCATGTTGGGTTTTAAGCAGAAAAGGACTCTTATAAAATTGTCTCTGACCCCTCGGAGTGAGGTGTAGAGGTGGGACTGCCCCACAAACAAGAGCCCACCTCACTGAAAGAGAACACTGGACTGTCTTCTGTGGGGAAAGGAGTGTCCACCAGTGCCCTTGATAGCTGAGACCCTGGAGTCAGCCTGAATTAAAACTCCATGGACCTTCCTGGTGGTGCAGCAGGTTGAGTGCAGTGCTGTGAAGCTGTCCACAGCCTCTACAGCGCGAGTTTGATTCCCGGCCAGCCAGGGAGATACCCACATGGCGTAGCAGACCTCTCCTGTCTCTCTTGCTGCTCCCGCAGCAGTGTATTTCATCAGTCTGCCTGTTCTGCTCCCCGCTCTGTCTCTGGTGAATCCTCTCACCCTCCCACACCTCTGGCCTGTACCCCAGTTCTTATATAAATAAATCTTTGAGAAAAAAAACTTCCATGTCTTTGACCTAACTGTGGACTCTCTGGATGAGCCCCTCTACTCAGACCTCCTCCAATTCAGCAAAAGAGGATACCGCCCTCGAGAAGTGGAGGGAACCAGGGTTGTAAACCAAGGCCAAAGACTTGGCTTCCTTGTGAAAGATTTGTTTAAGATGTGCTCCTCCTGAGGGTCTCTCTTCATATTAAAACATATGCTAGACCCTGGAGTTTTAGGGCCTCTGTTCAGGTTCACCAAGGCTCAGAAACATGTCCTCTTCCTCTCTTGTGCCCAGGTGCCTGTCTTGTGTGGAGAGTCCATACCGCTGCCACTGGTGTAAATACCGGCATGTCTGCACCCATGACCCCAAGACCTGCTCCTTCCAGGAAGGCCGGGTGAAGATGCCTGAGGTAGGTCACAGCAGCCAGAATGCTGAGCTGCCTGGAGGAATTGCAAGTATAGAACAAGACTGTGTACACACTCCGTGTCACTGTGCACAAAGCAGTGTGAGACCAAAGAGGACAAGTTACCTAAAAAGAGGGAGGAATAAGACTAAAGCATGTCAACTTACCAAGCAGTGTGGTGGTTCTCAAGGTGTGGTGCCCAGACCAGGGGCATCAGCGTCGCCTGTGAGCAGGTTAGAGATGCAGAAATTCCCTCTATTCCAGACACGATGGATGAGACCCTGGGTACAATGAGCCCTCTGGGAGCCCAATGGCCAGTCTAGGTAGAAATTGAGGATGAACTCAGAGTTGGGTTCTGTGCCGAAGGTGACACATTTTTATTCCCTCTTAATCCTTATTCTTATCCTTGAGAATGATTCATAATAGAAAAAACTATGCTTATGTCATTACTGCTCTTAGAATATGAGTTTGTGGACAAGGATCTCAAAGATAATGTGCATAGAGACACTTTGGAAAAGTGTTATTCAAACATGATGGTGACATTTAAGAGTTGGTGTGAACTGAGTCATTGGGCCAGTACTGTGCAGAGTGTTTGCTTTCTAATGCTGTTATTTAGAATAGAAAGAATAGAATATATTATAGTATGGTACAGTATGGGATGGGATGGTATAATATAATTAATATAATATAAATATGTAATAAAAAATTATTGTGGTAGCTGGTGGATTTTGAAGACCCTAATCATTTATATGTTTCTTAAATTGCATATATATGTGCATATCTTTTATCTTACTTGTATGTGTATATATGTACATATATAGCTTACATCTTATTTGTGTATATGTTCTATGTTCTATAGAGACACACACTTGGTTAGAGCCCACACAATTATTGACAAGACCACATAGTTTCCCTGCAGGAATGCAGCTGCCACCCTGGCCCTCACTCTCTTAGCCAACTCTGGACTCAGACAGGTGCCAACACCGCTGCCCCAGTCTTACATGCACCTTCCAGGCCCTTCCTATAACCACACAGGTGCCAAGACCATGTGGCAAACACCCTTTGGTTAAAGCAAGGCACTGTCCTGGTGTCAGAAGTATAAGGGTTGAGGGGATGAGGAGGGGCATAGCAAGGCCAGAGAAGCCCTTTGATTGCCCTCACCCTCTTCCCCCAGACTTCTAACCCACCAGGAACCCTCACTTGAGCCAAACCCTTCATGGCAGGAGGTAAAGGAATGGTGAGGACCTCTGTGAGAGAGAATGATCCTGACTGAGTGGGGTGGGGGACAAACAAGGAAGACAAAGCAGAAATCTGATACCCTCCTTCAAGGTAATTAAATGATTCATTCTCCACCAGATATCTCAATTGTTTCTGCTTTCATTTTATCCATGGGCCCCTCCACACATAAAAACCCTGCCACATACACCAAGCTGAAAAGCTGCAAAGAAGCTGAAATCCTCTGTCTCCACTCCCACTGAGAATCTTGCAGTTTTCGGACCGAACAAGAAGAGGTGGTGAAAGTTTCCAGGCACCAGGCCCTCTCCTTCCACAATGGGGTCACAGTGGCTACCCTAGGTTCATCATCTGAGAAAGACACCCTCACCTAGACTACCCTTCATCGGAAAAGGGGCAAGGGGGAAGAGATTGCATCAAAAGTAGAAACGTCAATCAAAGGCATAGCTGTCAATTCTCTGCTCTTCTTTAAGATAAAATGGATATGGAGCTAATAGGAGAAACATGGATCTGGCAGTCAAGGTCACTCTGTTGGCATGAAGCACCTCATGAGACGTTGTACAGTCTCCTCCCTTCTGAGGTTCTTATCTTGGGGCATGGGGTCAGTTCCCCAGGCCAGGGACCTGGGAAAAACCTCCTATTTGTTTCAAAATCTGCAAGTTATTTGTTGGGAACGGAGACATAAAGGTCTTCAGCCTCTCCCCGGCTTTCCAGCCTGGTGTGCTGGCACAGGTCACATGTGTGGAGAGGCCCAAGAATAAAATGAAAGCAGAGACAATTGAGCTATCTGGTGAATTTCAAAGGCCCCTAATCATTTAATTACCTTGAAAGAGATTTTCAGAGTCCTGCTTTTTTTCTTTCTTCTATGCTCCCTTGTCCCAAGTTTCTTTCTTTTAAATATATGAAAGGAGCTTGTATCTGTTCCTCAGAAAGAGAGGGGGAGAAAGAACTAGAAGAAAATAAAATAAGAACCATCACATCTCCCAGGACAATTCAGGGACCCTGAATTGCAGCAGTGTGAGTCTCTCAAGTGTCTGGATTATGAGCCCTACACAGCTCCCCGTCTGTACCTGGCCCAGGTCAAAGTGGCTGGGGATTCACAGCACCTTGGAGCAATTAGTGCTGGAGCCCCAGAGAAAGGAAGAGGACTGGAGAAACAGGCTGAGGGAGGGATGTGGAGGTGGGCCAGCCTCCCTCTGCTGCCCCTCAATTCCCCCCCCATGTCCTGTGAGCTGTTCTGTGGACAGCCTGGCCGGCCACTGCAGTGAGAAGACATGCCTGCCTCCCCCATCACATTATTGAATGAAATTAATTTTGGCTCCTCATTTTCTTGGATGCTTTTTAGCCTAAGAGACAGAAGTTCTAAGGTTGTACTTTCAGTCGAATCTTGGATGTTGGATCCTACCCAGTTTAATCCTAGGGCCATTTTGAATATTTGAGGAGAAACCAGAATTGCCCACCTCAGTGGTCTTTGTAGCAATATCTTACTGGACAATGTGCCAAAGGGGAAAGAATTAAATTAATATTGGTGGACTATTGAATGACTCCAGTTAATTCCAGTTAGTGGAAGGAGGGTGTTGTCCTCGGAGCTTAACAGAAAGTCCCTGGCTGCTAATGAAAATATGGTGATATTTTTTAATGCCAATTTTTTCTATATTTTTCTTTCTGGAAGAGACAGTAGCAGGAATAAGGGATAAAAAGAAAATCAAACCTGTGAAAGCTGATTTTTAGAAGCCCCTGTACACAAGAATCCCATCTCCAGACTGGGGGCAGAGCTTATGCACAGCACGATAAGCTACACATCACCCTTCACCCTGCATTAGCCATTCCTGAACATTTCCCATGCTCTTGGTGCTGTGAGAAGGTCTAAAGGTGTGTGGAGATCTGTAGAGCTGGATTTAGAGTGTGTAACATAGGCCCATTGGGCGACATGATTGCTAACATTCAGTGACTGTCAGTGGGAATAAGCTGGGAAGAGAGATCCATGCCTAAGAAATGGTCTCATTGGGTGAGTGCTCAGCTCCAGGCTAAGGTGACCCCGTTCTAACTAATGGGGTGACTGGCACTCAGCCTCAGGGCTTCCATCTCTCCTGGGCATCCAGGCACAGGCCCACCCTCTTGGAATAAAGGTGAGGCCCAGGTCCAGTGACTCTTCTAGAAGTCTCTGGGTTTTCATTTCCTTTTAACCTGTGAGTGTGAGGATGCAAACAGGAGTCTTTTGTTGACCAAGAGTGAGGCCGCCAGGTGGTTTTTCATCCAGCTGGCACCGCCTTGTACCCAGGAAAGCTTTCATCCGTGTGTCTTCCCATTTCAACATTGGCTTTGTTGACTGTCACCAGGGATGTTGAATTACCTCTTCCTCCCACCAGAATAAAGAGTGCATTCAGGTGAAGTTATTGGTCTGGAACAGAGAGCTGTTCGATCATTGTTGTTATTATATTAATGGCAAGTATCCTAGCATAATTACAATGATTACAAATAGAATGCCCAATAACATATGTCGTTTATGGTAACTGAATTCCAGTTACAAGGAATGATTTTGTTTCAACTAATGATGGCATTATGATAACAACCCCAGGTCTTTAGATCAGCCGCCAGATCCTGGGTACCAAAGAGGAGAGAGCAAAGGCAGGGAAAGCTGGATAGTGACAAGAGATTCTCCTGGCCCTCAGGCTCACTGTCCAGTATCAGCTGACGCTCCTTCTAAGTTCCTGATGGGAAGTTGTCGTGGCCTTTCACTGGGCAGTCATGCCCTCACCTCCACTAAGTAACAGAGGAGCTGCCAGTGCCCAAGCAGGCTCCTGCACATGCTGGCCTGCTCCTCTACCCCATTGAACCCACACACTTAATCCTGGTGATCTGTAGGGCACATAGGCAAACTTCCATGGAAAAGCAAATCCATTGACAAAAATCTGTCCTCCGTGGATAATTTTGCTGTGATTTCTCATCTGAACTAAAAAGAAAAGTGAGAGGCTACTGAAGCTCTGTTCTCCAGGGCCAGACTGGATGGGCTTTGCTAGAAGGAGAAGGACATCGGCTCGCAGTGCACAGGCTCAGAGAGAAAATGCAACACAAGTGCCTACTCCAGAGAACTGACTTGATCAGAAGAGGCAAAATGAATTCTATTTGATTTCCTAAGCTATGCTTGAAAGGTTTTCCCAACCTCCCCCATGACACCAACAATAGCCCTGAGATGAATTCATAACCAAGAGTGGTATCCTGAAATGTATCTATCTCAAGGCTCAGTTTGCTCCAGGACTGAAGAACTGGCAACGCACGGAAGGTCCTAGACCCTACTGCTGCAGTAAACCCCATATCCTGAGGTAGGGCAGACCAAGGCCATTCAACCCCCTACTAGACTTGAGGGAAATCAGATCAGCCAGTCTTATCAGCAATTCTACTTGCCTTCTTGCAGAGACACCATCCCTGGGACCAAACCCAAGGGAATATAGCCATCCCTGCCATGTCCTTCACCCTCCTTTGAGAAAACAAAGCCAAACCCTGCTAGAGAACATGCTTCCAACCCATGCACCACCCCCCATTCCATTACCAGGCTGCCATTTCTCCCGACAATTGCATTTGCCATCAATCTTGTCTGCCCCTCCCCCCATAGGGTTATGGGTATTTCCTTTCTGTATTATTACTTGGCTCTCTCCATGAACCAGCCCACCGTAGATCACACTAATGGCATTATAAACTTGGGGAACAGCAAGAAAATATATGGTGCGTTACATTTTTTTGTATTGGACATCATGGGTCTGAAAAAGGTCAGTGTGAATTCAGGGGGTTGGTTGGGACTAGGGCTGGCTGATCTCTGGAATTGATGGGAGCTATGGGGGAGGTGAGGTGACTTGCAAATCACTTACTCCTTAGCTGCTCTGATACCTTAGGTGCAGTCCCTGCCACAGGCTCCCGCAGAGCTTCACATTGCCCCACTCTTGCCATTACAACTAGGAGAATTAGAGCCTCATCTAGTAAACACACTGGGGGCTGTAAATCCATCTCTCTCCCCTTCCCCAGGCAGCACCAGCCCTGAAGGCAGCCTTTTCTCTCCCAGCTCCATAGCATTCTTTATGTCCTTGTTCAATTATTTAAATATGCAGTGAAACCTCTGGATAAAGCAGCTACTGACATGCTGGACATGGGAGATGGAAAGGCATCCTCTTTGGTTCCATGCTTTGGCTCAGTGTTGGTACTCCTTGTAATTAGCCATGCTATCTTTACTTCAGTGTGCATGTAAGTGGAGATCAAAATATGCACTGGGCTAGACAGTTGACCTGGAAGCCAAGGAAGCCATCTCCAGAAAAACCAAGACATTAAAGATTTTTGTGCCTCCAGCCACTACTCCCTACCTGGGTCTTTCCTTACAGAATGTAGCCACAGGCTAAACAGTCTCCCAGGGAACCTGGCTTCTATTGCAGCATTTGTCTCCCAATAATCTTGTCAAATGCAGGTGTTTTCCACCCTCCGAGAGCTGGCCCTCCAAGAGCTGGCCCTTTCAAGTGATGGTTCAGGAAAAATATCTGCCTTGAAAAGAGAAGAGGTGTCTATTGTTGAGGATTTTTGTTTGGGGCTAGATAAACCGCTGGGGACAAGATTCAGGAAGGTGATCAGGTGAAAATATTTTGTTTGTCGTTGTTGTGGAAACTGGTGTCCTTCGTGTCTTGATCTGGAGCTGTGGGTGACCGTAGGTGCTGTGCTATGAAGCAAGATCACACATGGAAATATACGTGAAAGGCGAGGGTGGTGGGGGAATGTGCAGGGGGCCGGATCTTTGTGCTGTATTAGCTGCATTAACTAGCATCACACTCTGCCTAGCAGAGCTATTGCAGTCTCTGCAACTACCCCAGGTTGCAATATACTACCTATTAAAAGATCAAGTTACTTTCCTCCTAGTAGGTAAAGAGGAAAAAGTCAAAAAAGAGTTTTAATAATAACATGTAGACTTCTTGTATTCATGGGAGAGACCCAGAATGACCATGTAACGCCCCACATGGCTTCAGGGGCCATCTTAAATAACTTAGCTAAGACAGAAGGGCTTTGAGATTGGGGGCGAGGGGAGAGACAGAGGAGGAGAGTTAGGGAGTTTACCAGGGAAGGCACAGTAAACATGAAGTCTGCAGATTGCTGTCTGCCTTCTCCATGGGAAGGAATAAGGAGATCAGGTCTTCCCAGTACGTGTTACAGATATTTATCTTTTTTCAAAAGCAACCTCCACCCAGTTTCAGAGTCCCTCCCATTCAATCAACCTTTTGCCAAAAAGGCATATTATGGGGTGGTATATTTTCACTCCCTTACACCCCAAATGGAGGAGGAGTTTTGGAGGAGTTTCTAACCCCATTTATAGTTAACCCAAGCAATGATTAGCACTTCTTTCAAGAATCTGCTTGTTTCAGACATGAATTAATCGTTATGATTACGCGACCAAAGTTCTTTGTAGTGGAGGAAGCTCAAAGGCAAAGGCAGGGTTGGGAGGCCTGAGTCCCTGAACCACAGCAGAAGTGCTCAGAAAGACAGCTTCAGATGGGAGTGGTGGAGAGACATGGAGGTTTCTCTGACATTTCCCACAGGCATCAGACCTCGAGGTGGTTTCGTACCTGGAATCTCAGAGCCAGACAGGTCGGATATGGGGAGCTGGGGTGGGAAGAGAGGACAGTGCTGTGGCCGTGGTCCCTTCATGCCTTGTTGCCTAGGGGAAAATTGCCATTTTACATTTCAATTAGGAGGGACACTGGGGTCAATCAGCAGCTCCACCAGAGGAAAATGTGGCCAGCCCAGCCCTGGGCCTCTCCAATTATTATTAATGAACTTACTCTCAGTGCAGCCAACCTTTTTATATGCAAACTAGGCCTTTATGGGACCACTGGCAATCAGGACTCATTAGAGAAATGTAACAAGCCTCAGTGAAAATTTTATGGGGAAGAGAGGGCTTGAACTTCCACCAGTATCCTAGACTAATACAGGCCAGCCCCCAGGCCAGCTTCCAGCCCACCACAGGGAGGATTCCCTGCTTCTTGGTCCTGCAGTCTCAGAGAGACCCTGGCTGTCTGTTCTGCCCCAAGCCTCGGGTGGTCCCACCCGCTGGCTGGAACTTGCCTGTTTCTTCAAGGGGAAGAAAAGATGGTGGGCTGGCATCTGCGTCTCTAACTGCCAGCACATTGGCTGACACTGAGCTATTATTTTTCCTCACCCTGACTCAGTGTCTCCTTTGCCAAGCAGCAAGAGCCACTAAGCTGGTCAGGGTATTCATTGGGCAGATACCTAAGAGTGGGATTGCTGGGTCATACAGGAGATTCATTTTCAATCATTTGAGGAATCTGCACACTACTTTCCATAAGGACTGAACTAATCTACATTCCCAGTAACACTAATTGGAAGGGAAATTTGCACTCCTGTGTGCATCGTAGCACTGTTACAATAGTCAAGCTATGGAAACAAACTAAATGCCACCAAACAGATGAGTGGATCAAGAAGATGTGGTAATTAGACACAATGGAGTACTACTCAGCAATCAAAAATGACAACTATGCCATTTGCGGCCACATGGATGGGGCTGGAAGGGATTATGATAAGTGAAATCGGTCTGAAAGAGAAAGACAAATACAGGGCGGTGTCGCTATATGTCACTAAATGGAATAGAGAGAAATTAAAGAAACAGATAAAAGCCAAACTTAAAACTAATCCTAGAAAATTGATTATAGAGCTAAGGAATCCAGAGGGAGCACCACTGGGGAGGCGTGAGAGCCAGGTGGGGAAGGATACATGGACTAAGCTGGCAGGTCACGGGACCGTTGGTGGAGGGTGCACTGTGGTGCTAACACTTGAAGGGGTGGGGAACCCCATATTCCCCAAATGCAAACAGTGATGTCAACCAACATTACCTCAAAAAAAACATTTTAAACAAAATAAAATATACTACCAACTGATGTCATTAAAATAGCCAAATGGAAAAATAAATAAATTTTAAAAGTTGGTCTGAGGACGTTCAGATTCCAGATACCCTCGAGGCATCATTCCTGGGCAGTAACATTTTATTGTGGGAAACAGAGAAAAGCCTGCACTTCTGCTCTCTGAATACAGCCCCTGACCCAGCTCCCCATGAGGAGGTGGATACCCGGGGCCCCACCCCTCTGCCCTGCCCTGGAGTCTCAGTTCTTACTCTGCTAGTGGAGGATGCAGGGGTGGGGTCTCTGTGGAGAATCAGCAGTGGCCCAGGGAGCTGCATCCTCCAAAGGATGTGTGTGCCATGCTCTTGATGGGTACCTTCCCCAAAGCCATCTGTCTTGGCACGCCCCTGTCTCTGCCATAGGGGAGGAATCTGGCAGGTGGTGGGCCTGCCTGACTCCGGTGCCCAGGTCCTGCTGCCTGTGCTTGCCAAAGGCCCCACTCTGTCCATGCCACATAGGCCCAAGACACAGACTCTGTACCAAGCCTTGAGAATCCATCAACACCCTAGCTTCTACCTCTCAGTGGCAGAGCATCCTCACTCCTGATTTGACCCATTCTCTTTGCAGTCCTCCCTGGGCAGAGCTGACTACATCAGGGAATGGGACCCAGTCAATCATATCCTCCATCCTCAAAGACTTTCTGGGCCCCACCTGGCTCCAGAGATGCGAGCGTCCATTGCCAGCCTCTAGCGCAGTGTGTATCTTCTCTGAAGGGCTGGCTATTCCCAGAGCTCAGCCAGAAGCTGGATTAAAAGGGTCTCTGAGACTTATTCCAGAACATTTCCCAAGTGTCAGATTCAGCCTACATATGGAAAGTCCTCCCTGCCCCTCCTGCCATACTCCAGATGCATTCTAGAGCCTGGGCCCAGGGCTTAGCCTCGCGGCAGAACTGCTCATGTGGGCCCTGTGTCCCGACTCTTGTTAGCCTGGAACTGAGGCCAAGGGGTCATCCGTCCAATGGGCAGGATGCCCAGCCAGCAGGATCGGTCTGGAGGGGAGAGGGTAGGAAGGGAGACAGAGGGATCAAAGGAGGTCAACATCGAAACAGAACCTGGGGAGGGCAGGCACAGCCTCAGAGAGGGTGGCCTCAAAATTCTCACCCCAGTACCAAGGGGTTCATAGCCCCATTCCCTCCAGCACAGCGGCCAGGGCGGGCACCAGTGCCGGGAAATGTGTAGGTGAATCTTCAGGAGGATGAACAGGGTCAGCACCGGGTTATGTCAGGAGAGGCTCCCTGCCACTCTCGGCTTCCTGCTCCCCGATCTGAGCTGTGCTATCTGTCCCCAGGACTGCCCCCAGCTGCTGCGAGTGGAAAAGATCCTGGTGCCTGTGGAGGTGATCAAGCCCATCACTCTGAAGGCCAAGAACCTGCCACAGCCGCAGTCTGGGCAGCGTGGATACGAGTGTGTTCTCAGCATCCAGGGCAGCGAGCAGCGGGTGCCCGCCCTGCGCTTCAACAGCTCCAGCGTGCAGTGCCAGAACACCTCTGTGAGTCCCCGGGGCCCTCCGGGCAGGCCCCACCCCGCCCAGCACTGGTCAGGATTTCCTTCAAGGACCACAGTGCCCTGCCTAGCTGCTTCCCCAGCCCTGTGGGGCCAGCCCAACCCTTTCCACTCCCCAGCCCCCTCCCACCACTGCTAGTTTTTGGGGTCTCTGTTGCCTTGACAACGGACCTCCACCTAAGACTTGCTGCAGCAAAAGAGGTTTGGGGGCAAGCCAGGGACCCCTGAGCACTGTTTGTGGCCAGGTGTATTTGTAGGATGCGTCAGGCTTCTAGAACATTCAAGCCAATCCTCCTTATGACAAGCTGGAAGCCGTTCCTCTGCCCCCCTATTCGGTCTGACCTGATGCCTCATTTGAGCCCCAAAAGCCTACAGCTGCCTTTGCACCTTCACAGAGGCTGTTTCCCAGCAAGGGGGCTTCTGAGACAGACCAACACCTGCGAAGGGAGCCATGAGCAGGAGGGAGCTGGCGGAGAGGCCTGAGGGTCAGCAGCGCCCTGCCTAGGGCTTAGAAATCAGCATCAGGTCCGTGCCCCGTGAGCGCTAGTCGGCAGTCCCCACCCTGCTGTGAGGTGCTACGCAGCCAGCGGGGCCAGGAGGGCAGGTGGGCAGGCCTGCTGTCTCTGATGATGAAATAGTTCCCTGGGAGAGGGGTGAGGATGCCACAAGACCAAAACTCACAGGCCCCCTGCAGTCAGCCGGCTGGGTTAGATTCAGCGCAGTTTGTACACCCACTACACACCCCCTTTCTTGTCGGTCTGCTCCTTGCCTGGCCTCCTGGCCTTCCCAGCCACTGCTCTGCTTTCTCTCCCCTTCTGGGCTCCTTCTATGCACCAGATGTTCAGAGAAACACCTTAGACTCGGGATATTTCCAAGCAACAAGAGACCGCAACATTGCTCCCGGTGCAGAAGGGAAAACTAAGGCCTAGAAGCAGGGGCACATCTAGGCATGTGGCGCTGGACTGAGAGGCATGTGGTTTGAGGGGCCTTCTTTAAGAATGCACAATGAGATATGCGGTGCCCCGGAGTGAGCTCTGTTCACTTTGGAGTAACCCGCCCCACCCAGGGGAAGATGCCAGGGTGGGGGCAATTATCTCCATGACCCAGGTGTGGACACAGGCTGCAAGAGGCCACAGCTGGTGTGCTCTGGGTTTGTCACACTGCCTTATACTCATCCCTCACATTGCTTTGGTGCAATGAGAGATGTTTGGGGATGTAATGTGAGGCCAGGAGAGCCTAGATGTCCTTCTTCCCGTGGGAGGTGATCAAGGGGCAAGTGGAGCTCGGAGAGCCTCACACACTTGCCTAAGGATGTTCAACATCATGGAGACAGAATTGGCAATTGCTCTCCTGGACCTCAAATGTGTCCCCACAGCTCCTGAGAGCACGTCTCCCTTCCACCCCTCCCCAACCCCCGGCAGCCAGGCTGCCTTGCAGATTTCTGCAGTGCTCCAGGTGAAATCTGCAAGCCAAAGGGATATTAAACATCTCCTATTTCCTCATAAATCCTGAGGCCAAGCAGGCTGGTCCCAAGGGCTTGGCTCTAATAAGGAATCCCCCTGTGGGAGGAGAAAGGCTGAACCCCACATCTGACTCAGCAGAAGGCAGGAGAAGTTCAGGCTGCAGAGAAAACAGCCTAGTTCCCTCAGAGATGCTATCCAGGGACCTGCTCCCCAGGGGGGCCAAAGGGCAGGTGGGCAGGTCTGTTGTCTCTGATGATGAAACCTTAGTTCCCTGGGAGTAGGGTGAAGACACCACAAGACCAAAACTCCCAGGCCCCATGCACTCAGCGGGCTCGGTTAAATAGAGGACAGTTCCCCAGATGGCAGCCTACGTTCGCCCTATAGACCTGTTGGTCAGAAGTCCATTCGTGCCTGGGACCAATGTGAGCCTCCAGGAGGCCCACAGGAACCTGCTGCCTTGCTTGCACTGTGAGAATGGGAGGCCCCGGCTTCCAACATCCTCGGCATTTCCTGAGCCCGAGCCTGACTTGGCAGATGAGCTCCTTAGCAGTCAGGGAAGTCCCCGGATGGGCAAACATCCTGGGCACAAACGGAGCTCAGCAGCCCTGACAGGTGCAGGAGGGCCGGAACAGGCCAGTCTTTTCTCTATGCCCCACGGAGTTCTGGTGGGAGCACCCTGGTGGCAGCTAGAGGGGCAGTGACTGGTCATTCATAGCCTCCTTTAGACCAAGGTTCAAGGGAAGTGTCAAGTGCTGCTAATACCAGTCCTCAGTACCCACCTCCTGCTCACTGGGACCACGCAGCCGGTGGGTTGGAGCACTGGCCTGGCTGGGAGGCAAGCTCCAGGCCCAGCGTCCAGGGACGCACAGTGTCCTCACACTTTCTCTCAGTGTCCCAAGAGCCACACAGAGTTGGGGAGCACCAGAACAGTGTTACCTTGTCTTCTCCCTGCCTTCCCAAGTTGCAGCTGGGCGGGGATCTGCGGAGCCCCCAGCACTCAGAGAGATGGACACGGAGCACACACAGGCTTCTTGTGCTGTTCAGGCTTGTTCATCCAGATGGTAGAACTTTCCAGCAAAAATATCTCAGGACTTGGGAAAAGGGAATGGTAGGAGGAAATATGTCCAAATTACGTGGAGGAGGTCATCTCTTTGTGTCAGGAGGCAGAGAAACCGAGGGTCACACTTTCTCAAGGTCACAAGTAATGTCATCCACTAGCCAGCCACAACGTGCCAGCCCTTGATTGAGACGCTTAACCTCCTGGCCTCTGGGAGCCTAAAACACTCCCCCTCAGCTCTGGGTTTTGTGCACATTAACTGCCCGCTGATTACAGAGAGCTATATAAATGCTAAGTGGAGCAGAGGTGTGGGTCCTGGGGGGAAGGGAGCCAGTGGTCCAGCTTCCCAGCAGTGAAAAGCTGGAGAGTCTCTTGCAAGCCTTGCTCTGCCCCCTCCAGGGTGAAGTCATGGGGGAGGGGTGCCCAGGAACTAGACTGCTTCCCTAGGGACAGAGGGAGTGGCGGGAGCACCTGAGGTTAATGATTTCTGTAATATTTCATAGTCAAGATCCCAGGAATAGGGGAGAGACAGAAAGTAATGCCCAGCAGATGTGATCCTTAAAATCGTCTTTATTTTCAATTTCCTCAAAAAGAAAAGGCAAGCACACACACGTGCACACCAGAACATGACAGCACCGAAGTGTCCTCACGTGCACGCATCTCCATATGCACCAAGTGTCTGGCGCACAAACACTTAATAAGTGGCTGCTATTATTATTCCACATAAACATAAACACAAACACAGAGAACGCAAATCTTTTTTTGCACAGCATCCCCCAGTGAACACACAGATTGAAATGCCCGGCAGTGTTTGCGCCCCTTCTACGTGACAGGCACAGAGCCCAGGAGCTCCGCATTGGGTGGTTATCGCTGACCCTCACCCCAGGCCGCTGAGCGATGCACTTTCTAAGTCCCACTTTACAAATGAGGAAACTGAGGCTTAGATCTTGTGCCCAGGGTCTGGCCTCTGTAGCACACGTGGTTAAGGACACACCGGTGACACAGATATGTGCACTGACACCTTCTCAGGTCAGCCTGCATGTGGACACACTTGCACACGCAGACACTGCATGCACACACATGCAGAATTCCTTGCCTTGCTCTCAGGGAGAGTTCAGGACCCTCCTGAGGGGAACATGAAGCTTCTATTGCTCTTCAGCCAACATGGTGCTGGACACCATGACCTGCTGCTTCCACTTTGGCCAGACCCAGGTCTGAGAGGCAAGAGCCAGACTCTTCTCCTAACTTGAGCACCTCCAGCAACCCCTCTAGAGGCCGGAGCCCTGTGGACCGTTGAGTCAGCCCTGGCCACCTTCCAGGGGAGCCCCCCAGAGGGAGCTGGGAAGCCTGGGAAGTGGAGCTTGCTGGAGGAGGAAAGTGGAAGGAAGAGGTAGAAAAAGATTCTCTCCCTCCTCTCTCTCTTTCTCCTGCACACAAGTGTATGCACACACATGCAGGCCAGCCCGGTGCACCTGACCGCGCCTCCCTGCTTCTGGCCCATTGCAGGGAGCAGCGGTCCTTGGGCATTACCAGCGTCAGAATCACCAGAATAGCTTGTGTGAGTGCCCTGCTTCCCCAGAGATTACGACTGAACAGATGGGGTTGGGGTCCTGGAATCAGTAACCCCCTCCCCCCAATATTTCTGATGAGGGTGGTCCTTAGACCACTCTGAGAACCATCACTCTTGAGTGGGAGAAGTTTGCCAGAGACTCAGAAGGACCTGAAATGACCCAGCCTGACCCAGGCACGAAGGCCTTCATCTCCCGGGGCTCCGGCACTACACCACAAACAGCTCAGGGGCCCCAGAGACCCCAGGTCTGCGCTGCTGCTTCCCCAAGGCAAGGGAGCATAGCTTTCTTGATGGGCTGAGACCAGACCCTGTCCCTGGTGTCCTTGGTCACCAGGGAGATGCCACGAGAGTGCAGATGGAGCCACAAAACCAGCCCCACTATGGAGTAAAGCCTCGTCTTGGCTCTCTGGCTTGGGCGTGCCTCACCAGGGATTTCGTGAAAAAATTTGCAGCACTTGGGTGGAGACTGCAGTTGGCTGGGCACGCATCCTACTCAGGTGTGAGGATACCGCCAAAGCCGAGTCTGCTCCATATGCCCACTCTGTGACTCAGGCACTCAGGGGGATTTCCCAGCTAGGATTGCAGCCTCTCCCATGGAAACCACAGAGGCTCGACTGATAGACCCTCCCCAAGCAGCACCTCCCCTATCACTCCTTCCTACCTCCAAGCCCAGCAGTCCCAAGTAAGCACCCAAACTCCCCAAGAGATCTGGGTAGGGAATGGGATCCAGAGAGGATCTTACAGAGCTGAGGCCCCATCTTTGAGCCACTCAATGCCTTTGGGGTCTTGACCCAGGTTCCCCACCTCACCCCTAAGTTCCCACTTGGTCCTCCTCTCTTGTAATTCCTAGTTGCTCACCCCTGACGGCTCAGCCCTTCCTTACTCTCCAGATCTTTGGAAAAGCACTCACCTCCCCAGAGTGTCCTAGAAATTAAATTTCCCACACTGAATCAGGGGTCTGGGGGGCCTATTGCTAGGGTTCCCTGGATCTTTGGGGAGGAAGCAGGCTCCTCCTTCAGTTAAACTTCCTGGGGAAAGCAGCTGGTGCTACAACCTCCATGGAAGTAGAAGGTAGACAAGGAGCTTCAAATCTGTTCTTTGAACCCACCTTCCAAATGGGGCCCTACCCAGATCTGGCCTCTGCCCTGCCTCAGCTTCCCGAACTCCTGCTCCTGGTCCCTGACATGTGCTTCCCCACCCTGCCCCCATACATGTGCATATATGCCCACATATGCACCCCCACATGACAGTCCTCACCAGGGCTTAGTTCCATGTACCCCTGAAGGCCCCCAAATCTCCAGATGTCTCTATGACCCCCTTTCTTCTCTCCCACACCCTCGGACCTGGCTGCAGTATTCCTATGAAGGGATGGAGATCAACAACCTGCCTGTGGACTTGACAGTGGTCTGGAATGGGCACTTCAACATCGACAACCCAGCTCAGAACAAAGGTGTGGAGGGGCGGGGCCTGGCAGGGAGGTGGGGCAGGGCTGAAGGTGGGGCCTGGGGAGGTGGGGCCTGGAGGGAGGTGGGGCCTGGTGGGAGGCAGGACCTAGTGGGAGGCAGAGCCTGTGGGAGGCTAGGCAGCAGGCTGGAGGGAGGGTGCAGTTGCTCTGTGTTCCTGGCCAGGATCTTTCCATCCCCACCAAGTGATGATGCACCTGGTGTCACTCATCTTCTGCCTCCCAGCAGCCCTCCAGGGCCTCTTGGGCTGGCTGAAGGAGGACTGCTGACTCTGGGGGGAAACTCTGCACCCCAATCAGTTGTGTCTGCACAGCCTGGAGCTCTGTGCGATCTTCTCTGTGTCAGAATGGCTAAGGGGACATGCTGTCTCCATATCCCGTCATCTCAGTGGCAGATGGCACCCCTTGTCCACCCTCCCCAGGCCCCCACTTCCAGCTGTATTTTCCCACTTGCCCTTTGCCCACAGTTCACCTCTATAAGTGTGGAGCCATGCGCGAGAGCTGCGGGCTGTGCCTCAAGGCAGACCCGGCCTTTGAGTGCGGTTGGTGCCAGGGTCTGGGCCAGTGTACCCTGCGGCAGCACTGCCCGCTGCAGGAGAGCCAGTGGCTGGAGCTGTCGGGCGCCAACAGCAAGTGCACAAACCCCCGCATCACAGAGGTAAGCGAGCCCTGGCCTGCTGGCCAAGTGAGCGGGCTCCAGGCTGCTGAGCCTCGCCCTGCAGGAGGCTGGAACCCTAAAACACTGTGCCTGCACATGGTGTCAGTTACCCTAGTGGTCTTCAGGGGGGCCTTAGATGCCCTGGCCAGCTGGGCACATGATATTTTCCAGCACAACTCCCCCAGCAGTTGCAGGCTTGGTTCAGAGGTTCTCCCCTTATCAAAGGTGTTTGAAAACAAAAGGCGAGGCCCTGCTGCTCTGTGGGAGTCCCCAGGGAGGGGTGTCAATAAGCTGAAGGGGCTCTCCACACCTTCCTCTGTCTCTAAGAACTGGCAAGGCTGAGACTCACCAAGCCATCTGGTGGTCTGAGCAGAGGCAGCTTTGGAGCCAAGGGCAGAGGAGCCATGGTCTCGGGTGGGGGAAGAGGTTGAGGGGGAGTTGGAAAAGGTCAAAATGTAGAGGCCTCAGGACTCACCTGGATTTGGAGCACAGTTCAGGAGACTTGAGGGGATACAGGTGATAAAGGGAAAGTGTGAGGGGCAGGACAGAGCTAAAACTGTATCCCCTCATCTCCTCTGTGAATGGCAGGAGGGCACAGGGTCTGTGAACACTATTCCTAAACCCACACACAGCACAGGCTGCACCCCCAAGCCCCTGCATGTGCCTGACCTGGGTTCCTTCTGGATTTGGGCCCGATGCACCCCAAGAATGGGGTGGGGATGGACAAGAGCCAGCAGCCTCTCCTTGCCCCAGCAGCATGGGTGATGGTGTTCTCTCGATGCCTGTCTCATTACTATCTTCCTCCCTCCAGATAATACCAGTGACAGGGCCCCGGGAAGGGGGCACCAAGGTCACCATCCGCGGGGAGAACCTGGGCCTGGAATTCCGGGACATCGCCTCCCACGTCAAGGTGGCCGGCGTGGAGTGCAGCCCTTTGGTGGACGGCTATGTGCCTGCGGAACAGTAAGTGGAGCCCACCCATGGCACAACAGCCATTTGTTGGTGCTGGCATCAGCCCCGGCCAACGGCAGGTGGTCTTAGAGCTGTGGGAAGCTGGGGGAAAGGAGAAAGCCTCTAATATTCTGGGGGACATTCCCACAACTCCCTAGTCCTGAGCTGGTTGCTGTGCATTGCGGGAGGGTGTAGAAAAGGGAAGGCGAGATGACTGGGATTGAAGAGAAAGTGACTGTTGCCTCCTAGGAGGGTGATGGTGGGAAGGAGGGAAACAAAGGTTCGTTAAAATCAGCAAGACAAGTGTGGGTTCAGTTCTATACCCCAGCTCCCTCTGCAGTCCTTGACTCCCCACCTGCATCCACCCCCATTTGTAAAAGAAGCTGATCCCGTTCTATCCTCCCAGAGACCAAAGTGAAACTCCACACCCACTTCCACTCTGGGTGCTTGGGGCTGTTTTTCTCTACTGCAGTCTACTGCACCCCTGAGTTGTTCCTTCGGCAAGTGGCCTTGACCTCTAATCCACCTGCTGAAGGAGGTGTATGAGCCATTGTTGCCTTGTAAATAAGCAGAGGGGTTTTCAACCCACCCAACAGCAAATACAACCAATACAACTTTCCAAGTCCTTCCTAGAACAAAATCAATTGATATATTGTGATTTGGAGAACTTTGAAATGCCCTGTTCTGGACCTGCATAGCCAGATATTTTAAAAAAAAAATTATTATAAACCCATGGAATTAGTTAGTGCTATGGTACTAGTTAGATCTGTGGAATAAGATAGAACACCCAGAAAAAGAACCCTGATATAAAGCTTTAGTATTTAATGATGAAGTTGATATTGAAATCAACAATGAAAGGAAAGACCTTTCAATAAGTAACCCCAGTTTACTACCTGAAAAAAGTCCTGTCTCAGATCCTATTCCACGTTGTTCAGCAAAATAAATTCAGGCAGATTAAAGAGTTAAATGTGAAAAATGAAATTGTGAAAGGATTAGAAGAAAATACAGGTGGGGATTTATTTCATTTCAAGAAAGAGAAGTGTGTTAAATATATCTGAAAAGAAAAAATTAGAAAGGAAAAGATTAGGTGATTTGAGTACATTAAACTTTAAAACTTGTTCATCAAAAATCATTGCAAGCAAAGCAAAAAATAGGGATGATAAGCTGGAAACAGGATGATAGTTATATATTTTTCCTCTTTAAATAAATGTTTAAGATAGATTACTGGTCTCATTTATTTTCTTTGTTGTTTTTCTCCTTCCTATTTGACTGATTTCTGTTCAGTTTTTGCTACTTCTGCTTTTTTTTTACTTTAATTCTCCTTTCTTAAGATAGAAATTTGGATTACTATTTTAATTAATTAGTTAATTTTTACTGAGGAATAATTAATGTATAACACATACTCATTTCCCCTATGACAGTCAATAGATGATTTATCTAAAGGGGTCCTGTAAATAAAGGGCAAATATCACAAAATAAGCAAAGAGCATGATTATACAATTCACAATATACACAATACACATCATACTTCTAGAATATCAAAGAACTTTTCCTAGATAGCCAGAATGCACAAATATTTGGTTGCAAGAGTTCTTATTTTGGGATTATTTATAATAATGAAAATTTAGAAGTAATCTGTATGTCTAAATACAAGGAATTGGTAAGTAATTTATAAGGAATAGATTTTTTTTTTTTTATAGTTTAATGTATTTTAATAGCAAACTAAGGAAGGACCATGTCTGGTGACTAGTGAGGTCCCTATCCTATTAGGAAACCTTTCAAAGGATTGGTAATATCCAGAGTTGGCCAAAGAGTGACGCCATCTCCTCAAATGCCCCTGGTAGAAGCACAAAGAAGAGCCGTTGTTCCAGGCTACCTCTCAAACATTAAGTGCACAGATTGGCCAGACCTGGTCCTTCCTTAGAAATAATAAATCCAGTGCTTAAAGGTGTGTACAGACTGCTTCATTTGAAGGATTATTTGGAGAAGAAAAGCGGGGGTAATGTCAGTGTGCATCTAGAGGAAGAGGGTTTGATAAATGACCGTGCAGGACTCAGGACATACTGCAAAGCTGTTGAAAAGGATGAAGCAGAATGAAGGGAGGGGTTAAAACAGTGGGTAATTAGACCTTTGATTTTAAAAATAATTTTTGTTTAAAAATCCTTTCATTTTAAAAATCATGTGTGTTTATACATGTTTGTATATAATTATATGTGTTATATATGACTTGTTTATACGTGTACATAATATAAATATATATGTATATATCTGTACCTGTGTACATGTGTGAGTATATAAGTGTGGTTAAGTATATGTATTTGACAAGTTGACTAATTTTTTCCATGCCTCAATGTCTTCCCTTTAAAATAGAGTCCATATATATATATACACAGATATATGAAGATATATATATAACAATAGATATGTGAAGATATATATTTTTTTCTCCACAGGTCTAGTAAAAGGCCTGAGAATATAGTTAACATTTAAAAGAGGTTAGGAATGAAGAGACAATTTTTATGTTAGACTTCTAAACTGTCTCACTGTTTTCAAAGAGTACAACAGATTTTGTAAATAAAATAGTGAAAAGCTTTTAAAAGGGAGTAATATATGACTCTTGTCCCCACCTAACACCCCCCACCAAAAAAAAAAAAAAAATGTACATATCCTGCCCCCACCCGGGCCTGGGAGCAGAGAGAGTTCACTGTGGTAATCCTTGCAGTGGGAGCAAAGAGTTCCAGGCAAGGACCTGAAAGCTTAGCTGGCTTCACGGTCCAGCTGTGACTTGCTGTGGGCCTTGGGTAAGTCACTTTACCTCCCCGGGCCCTACCAGCATGGTCCCTAAGATGCTTGGCACAAACATTCCCTGCAATCTTAATTCACAACTGTGCGCATTATTTGTGAGCTGGGGAATGACTGTCTGGAACCCGAGGCCCTTTCCTAGGCTCCCGACTCTCTGGAGGGCTTCCAAGAGACCCCTGTAGTTTGCTTTTCCTCATCTCCTGGGAACCACCGATGGGTCCATGCAAGGAGGGCAGGAGGAATCTGATATCTTTCAACTCCTCATCCCTGTCCTGCTCCTGAGATCCTTCCTGGGGAAGGGTGGACATCAGGGGTCATGGCAGGGGGTTGCAGTCCTGGATGCCTCTGGGGCCTCATGGGGTCTGTGCTCTCCCCCTGCAGGATTGTGTGTGAGATGGGGGAAGCCAAGCCCAGCCAGCACGCCGGCTTCGTGGAGATCTGCGTGGCGGTGTGTCGGCCAGAGTTCATGGCCCGGTCCTCGCAGCTCTACTACTTTATGGTGAGTCCTGGCTGCCAGCCACCTGCCTGGGCACGGGTCACAGATGTCTTTACTGTGATAGCTGGCAGGCTCAGCCTCTGTGGGCAGACCCAGAACTAGTCACGGGAGTCCTGTCCTCTAGAGCAGGAGAGCTTTCGTGGAAGTCTGGACAACCTGGCTTCAAATCTATAAGGCACTGGGCCTGCCCTCTGGCTCCAGGGAAGTTGTTTTGTCCCTGGGATCCCTCAGGAAGGACTTGAATAATTAATAGTTCCTCACAACTCTAAAACATCTCTCCATATCCTCTCCCCACCCCCAGAATGACTTCCCCACACAGTCAGCCTCAGATCGGATTCCTCCACTAAGCCAGAAGGGAATCTCTCCTTCCTGCCCCTTCTACCTATGAGCCCCACCCCAAGCTGACACTTTCCCTTCACGACCCCCCACCCCTACCCCAGTTTTCACTTCAGCTCTAGGACCACCCAACCTAGAAACCTGTGTGAGGCAAAGGCACCATTTGTGGAATGTGACCCGGAGCTACAGAGCCAGAGTCTTTAAATCACCTTTTGACCCAGGTCCCTGATTTTGTGATCAGAGAGGTCAAGTGACTTGTCTAGAATCACACAGGATGATCAAGGCAGAGCTGAGAACTGAAGGCTCTTTCTTTAGCCTCACCCGCCATGGCTTGGGGCAGGCTAGCGCCAGTAGCAGAGCCAGAAAAAGCAATCCTCTGTGTGGTGGGTTCTCGGAGGATGCCAGCCTGGGATCTGCAGAGACTAGGCAGCTGGACCAGGTAGGAGGCGGCCAGTGAAGGTGGCCTCTGGAGAGGGACCACACAGAAGCAGGGCCAGTGGTGGGCAAAGTGGTCAGTGAGTGTCTCCTCTATTCCCCATGTACCCCGTGTCAGGCTGGGGTGTGCAGGCTTCCTTCCTTGGGGCTTCTCTCCTGAGGCATCATCAGTGGAGGTCTCCTTTGGGGAGGTTACCAGCCCTCTCCCAGGAGCTAAGTGGATTCTACTTTTGGTGTGGAATTCTTTAAAGCGGTAGGGGAGAGAGAAACCTTCATTTAAATGCACATACAGGCTTCTCACCTGGGACTGAGCAAAGTTTTTTTCCATTAAAATGCTAATGAAAGAACAAACTGCAACTTCAAATCCTCAGCTCCCAGGCCCCAGCCTCCCACCCCCAACCCTGACACCCAGAGCCCTCAGTCTAAGGAAGGACCCTTCTTTGCTTCTTCCCCTGGGCTTTCCTGGGGTCCTCACACCCCCAACCCCTTGTTCTGGCTGTTGGGTTCTTAGGCAACTCTCTGGTAAGGCCTGTGGAGGGGGCAGGTCACCTTTCTGAAGCAACCCAGGCTGGAGAGGTGGTGAATTAGAGCCCTGGAGTCAGATCTCAGGCCACTTTCTAGCTGTGTGACCTTGCAGGTTTTACTTGAGCTCTCTGAATTTCATCTGTCAAAGGGATGGCAGCTACCTTGTAGAGTTGATTAGCAATTCAAATACATATTTGAATATATATATGTGTGTGTGTATATAGATACACACTATAGATAAAGACATCAAGCACTGCAGAGGTGTGGAGAAAAAGGAACCCTCTTACACTGCTGGTTGGAAATGTAGGCTGGTCCAGTGTCTATGGAAAGCTATATGGGGGTTCCTCAAAACACTGGAAATGGACTGCCATAGGACCCAGCAATTCTACTCCTAGGAAACTACCCAAAAACAGTAATTCAAAAGGAAACCTGGTCTCCTATCTTTTATCTCAGGACTATTTATAATAGCCAAGCTGTGGGAACAACCTAAATGTCCAAGGACAGATGGGTGGATTAGAAAAATGTGTATATACAAATATATATATATATACAATGGAATACTACTCAGCCATAAAACATGATAAACTCATGCCATTTGTAGCAATATGAATAGAGCTGGAAGGGACTGCACTAACTGAAATAAGTCCAGGAGAAGGAGAAGATAAATACTGGATGGTTTCACATATATGTGGAATATAGAGAAATCAAACAAAAGGTCAGATGAGGACAAACTTTGAAAGGTGACCATAGACCTGAGACATCCAGAAGGGAAAGGAACACAATGAACTATGGCTACCAGAGGGCAGTGGAATGGGTGGGAGCAAAGGGGAAGGGGTACCTAATAGAGGGTTACTAGGTTTGGTGGGGGGTGTGGTAAGATACCCTACATTTGTGGAAGTGTAAGGCTATGCCCCAAAGACATACAATGTGATGTCAATCACCATTACCTCAATAAATATAACACAAAAATAAATAAAAGGTCAGTAAATAGCAGCTATTACCACTGCTATTTATATAGAGATGCAAACTCTCAGAGGTGAGAACCTTACCTTGCCACACAAGCCTGGGAAAATTGCCGTGGCTCTCTGAAGATTCTAGAAGTCAACTGCAGGAAGTGGGGTGCTGCCTCAGGGTCCCAGAAGCCCCCTCAGGCCAGCCTTTTCCTCCTCAGACGCTGACCCTCTCCGACCTGAAGCCCAGTCGGGGGCCCATGTCGGGAGGCACCCAAGTGACCATCACAGGCACCAACCTGAATGCGGGCAGCAACGTGGTGGTGATGTTCGGGAAGCAGCCCTGCCTCTTCCACAGGTAACTCGCCTCAGGGCACATTGGGGGTTCACAGCACAGAGGGTAGGAGAAGGGGGTTCTCATGGCAGCAGACTTCCAGCCTAACCTGCTATATGTGCTTCCTTCTCCCTGAGAAAGTGGCCGAGGTCTTCTGGGCCCACTGGCTCAGTCTGGAGGCCTGCCAGGCACCCGCCATGCTGTTGCCCACTGTTTCACCTTGGTTTCCTTGTCCGCCCCCTCTGCAGAACCCCCGAGTTCTACAGGACACACTTTAGAATCTAGAGGCCCTTGCCCCCAAGTTAGCTCCTCACCAGTGGACCCCACTGGCACCACTGACAGCTGCTAGAAGCAGCGGCCCTGGCTGATCCCCCCCACGGTCCCACCACCCCACCCCAGAAGAGCATGGCTATCCATGAGCCAGGAGCCTGGAGTCAGGAGGGGGGCAAGGGGCTGAGGCAGGACTCAGGGATGTGGGGGTCATTAGATGGGTTTGCTGGGGGAAGCTATGTGGGACCCTGCTGAGCTGTGACAGGGCTGAGCCAGCCCAGGCTCGTGTTACAGATGAATATTCTGGCACTCAGTGATGCGGGGACTTTAGACTCAGGACTCTGGCTGTAGGGTCAAGACTGTGTCTGTGGAGGAGAGAGCTGGGGCTTGACTCCAAGTACAGCAGAGATGGCTGCGGCTTCACAGCGAAGGAGCGGATTGAGGGATCAGGGCATGGAAAAGCACCATGAGGAAGCAGTAAGGCTGGGGGTTCTTGCTAAGCTGACTAAACAGGATTCTTGTTGAAGGCAGGGCAGAGTGATCAAATACCTGGGGAGGCATGAGGAATTTGATCAGGTATCAAGGGTGCTCAGAAATCAAGCCTGGTGTGTGGGTGTTGGGGGGGGGTGGTGTTCGCTAACTGTTAGCAGCAGGATCCTTGCTCAAAACGGAGCTGGGCAATGGAAGACAGGGCCCGAGGACAAGGCCTAGTTGAAAAGGAGGTTCATAGGAAGCTCTCTAAGGTGTGGCCAAGGAGTTGTCAATGGTTAACCTCTAGGTAGTGCCCAACCATTGCCCCTCAGAGGCCTGATCCACAAGCAGGGTGTGGGAGGGCCCTCAAGACCACCATCCTGCTGGGCGGCCAGTGACCCGCCTGTGTCTTCCTCCCTCCAGGCGATCGCCATCCTACATTGTCTGCAACACCACGTCCTCAGATGAGGTGCTGGAGATGCAGGTGACAGTGCAGGTGGACAGGGCCAGGATCCACCATCAGGACCTGTCCTTCCAGTACCTGGAGGACCCCACCATCGTGCGCATTGAGCCAGAGTGGAGCATCGTCAGGTAGGGCCCGCCAGAGCCGCCCTTCCTGCTCGGGGACCTCAGTTCTCCTGAGAAGTCTGGGATATTCACTCTCTGGCCCTTTCCAGAAAGAGTATTGGCCCCAGCCCCAAACCTAAATAGAAGGCAGCCTTTGCTGAAACAAGATTCAGGTGTGCACAGCAGCTAGCCTCCGAGCCTCAGACCTTAGAACTCAGCCCTGATTTTCATGCAGATAATATAAGGCACATAGAGTGGAAAATAGCCTATAGGAAGGAATTTCAGGATTTGCTCCCGGGGCCTGCTGAGCACAGGAAGTTGAAACAGCCCCCTGTGCCTCAGTGGACAAGCCGCCACCCATGACAAGTCCACAGAAATGGACTGTCGTCCTTCCTAGCTCTCAGCAGCCGACCCCAAGTCATGCTCATCAAGAGGGAGGCTGGAGGCACAGGCACATGCTGTACCTGCCGGGGGCGGGGGGCGGGCAGTGCTTCTTCTGCCTAGTTAGCAAAGATGAGGATGGGGGAAGCAGAGCTGCCCCTTGCCTGCACGCAGCCTGTGTCATTCATGAACCGCAATGGGGCATCTGAAGATGCATGTTAAGCTGTGAGTGAGAAGATAAGGGAGGAGGCTGGGCAGCAGAACATCCAGAGCACCACGGGCAGAAGAGTCTCTGTGGGTCTCTCTGGAATCTTCCTACATGTGTGCACGTGTGTGTGTGTGTGTGTGTGTGTACAGAGGTGGAGGGCAAGAGAGAGGGAAGTAACTGGGAGTATAAATCTTTCCCACCAAGACTGTAGTGGCTTAATGTTTTAGCGGGTGGAATTCTCAGAGATACTCCCTTGACTATGGGTAAAGTGATTCCTCACTTTGCTTTGAGTAGCCCCCAGGACGCTACCCCCATCCCATGTCAGCTCTGCTCACCCTGAGACAGAACAGTAGCATCCAGATTTCCTTGGAAAAGCTACACAAAGATGAATCTCCTGACCCCGCCCCATCAGCAGGCTGACACTGCAGGGTGCAGACCTGAGTCCCTGCATTTCACGTTTGCATGCCCAGAGGAGGTTCCTGGGTGTCCATGCTGCTCTTTCCCACATCTCAGCTGACTGGCACTTCTGAGGTGGAAGTTTGCAGAATGAATGTGTGGGGAAGAGACTGCACTCAGACCCCAGAGGGCCCTGGTGGGGGCTGGTCTGGAGCCAGGCCGCCATAGCGGAGGCCAGTGTGACAGAGCTCCCCGAGACTTGTGAGGGCTGGAGGAAGAGGCTCCAGGGTCTGCAGACAAGCATCTGGGTGGGCCAGGGGCCTCCACGGGTGTCCACACTCCATATGTGCTCAGCCCAGGGCGCTCCTGGACATCTGGTCATCACTCTCTCCCCCCTGGCTGCTGAGTGTGCATCCTGACTATTATTCAGTCATCTTGTCATCATTGTGCCCGAAACCCGCCTCCCCACCCCGGGTGATCATTGTCTTTAATGTCAGAGCTGAGCCTGGTTCACCATCCTCAGTGCCATCGCTGCTCCTGTCCCCGTATTCACACTCCTTCTTTCTTCCCCGTCAGTGGAAACACACCCATCGCCGTGTGGGGAACAAACCTGGACCTCATACAGAACCCTCAGATCCGTGCCAAGCATGGAGGGAAGGAGCACATCAATGTGAGTCCATGGCTGGCAGGGGCCAGGGGGACCGCCCGCTCAGCAGGTCACTTCCCTAAAGGTGTAGCTGTGCTATACCTGAGACCTCAAGCAGGCCCACCCAGACCGATGACCCCGGCGCGTGGTTCCCTGAGGTGATGGGATGGGGGAGCAGATTTGAGGGCATTTCCACATTTCAGCGTAAGGGCAGGAGAAGCAACAGCTTCTGGGTTTCTATACCCTTATTCTTCCTCCGCTCCCTCTGACCTGCAGTGCTGAGAAAGTACCCTAGTCACTGCCACGCCGCTACAGACAAAAGGGAGCTGGGTGCCGGCTGCAGACCTTACTCCTGAGCACCCAGGTTGAGTAGTCCTGGTTGTAAAGGCCCCAGGACCCGTCCCCTGCTATCCTGTGTTGATGCCATGCTGCACGGCAGCACCACCAGAGACCCGATGGGTGCAGGGGGTAGTGGGGGTCCAACGTGCACTGCATGTCTCCACTCTGGCTCCCCCACAGCTCTGTGAGGTTCTGAACGAGACCGAGATGACCTGCCAGGCTCCAGCCCTTGCTCTGGGGCCCGACTCCCAGTCCGACCTGACAGAGAGGCCTGAGGAGTTTGGCTTCATTCTGGACAATGTCCAGTCCCTGCTCATCCTCAACAAGACCAACTTCACCTACTACCCCAACCCGGTGTTTGAGGCCTTTGGTCCCTCAGGAATCTTGGAGCTGAAGCCCGGCACACCCATCATCCTCAAGGTAGAGTGTGGCTTGTGGACAGGAGGCAGGTAGAGAGGAGGCTGAGGCTTAGGGGGAGAGGCTCGTAAATCGCAGAAAGAGCAGAAGTCACAGACTCCTGGCTACTTCCATGACGGAGCCAACAGTAGAGGTTGCGTTACAGCTAGAGTATGGGAACCCCGCTCTCGGAGCTTACATTAAGAGGAAAACTTGCTTAACAAGACACAGAGACCTGATCAGGGCAGCCGGATCCACCCAGACCACCTGACTCCCAAGTTTGTTTTGTCACCTGAGTCTAGGACTCAGGAACTCAACGGTTCATACTGCTTCCTCCTGGGCAGCAACCCATGGCATAGAGTTCCTTTGGAGCACAGGCAACAATTTTTTTTAAAGATATATTTATTTATACATGCAAGGCCTGGGGTACAGGCCAGAGGTGTGGGGGGTGAGAGGATTCACCAGAGACAGAGCGGGGAACAGAACAGGTGGATTGACTGAAATACACTGCTGAGGGGAGCAGCGGGCGAGCTAGGAGAGGTCTGCTGTGCCATGTGGGTAGCTCCCACATGGGGACCCACATGGCCGGGGATTGAACTCGTGCTGCAGAGGCTGTGGATAGCTTCACAGGCTGTGTCTTAACCCCTTGTGCCACCAGGGAGGCCCAGCACAGACAGCAACTTAATTTTAACTCCCGTGACTATTGGAATCAAATGGTAGTGACTGACTCTAGCTCTGTGTTAAGGATTCTGAGGCTGCCTTTGGGATAAGCTGAAGAGCGCCTTGATTATTGATTTCCCAGTCAGGGAAGAGGGAATGATGGTATAGGCTGTACATTTTGGACTTATCACAGAAGGTGACCTCTCCACCAACTCCCAGGAGGGGACCTTTAGGTGGGGGGACATGGCAGCCAGCCCATAGCCTTGGTCCTGACTCTGGTGCGGGATCTGAGGCTTTCCTGTCCATCCAGGGCAAGAATCTGATCCCACCCGTGGCTGGGGGCAACGTGAAGCTGAACTACACGGTGCTGGTCGGGGAGAAGCCATGCACCGTGACTGTATCAGATGTGCAGCTGCTTTGCGAGTCCCCCAATCTCATCGGCAGGCACAAAGTGATGGTGAGGCTCGGGGACCCCATCCTGGGATGCAGCCGGCCCTGGGGATGCTGGAGTGGGAGAGGGTCAGTTCCATCCTGGGCGACCAGGACCTTCCGGGAGAGACTCTGACCTGCTGCAGACATTCCTCCTAGCAACCCCGTTCCTTCTCCTGGCCCCACTTCCAAGCCTCTGCCCCACAGTGTCATTCTTTCACACTGCCTGGTGCTACAGAAGGGCAGTCATTGCACATTTGATGATGTGCCCAATCGCCTGCTCAGGGCAAGAGACCCTTCCAGGAGAGCTATGTGGGCCTGGGGATGGCCATCATGTGACGTTCTGTGCCGCAGTCACACCCTTAGAATGGCTTGGAGCTTGGGGAGCCGGTCACTGAGGTCATGTCAGACATTTCTAGGTCCCCATTGTGTGCTGCTTCCTCCTGAATTAAGAGACTGTGTGGCTCTTGCAGTTGTGGGGTGGCCTCTGCTGAGCCTGAAGGGCCCTCCCTCAGTCCCCAGGGCCCTCTAAGCTGTTTCAAGCACCATGATGATGGTCCTTTTGGGGCAGTTTCTGTCATCCTGCCCTGCTCACCATTTTATCCGTGACTCAGAACCGTTCCCTCGGAAGTTCTGTCCCCCCACCCAGCTCCCTCTCACCTGATGTGCCCCCAGGCCCGTGTCGGTGGCATGGAGTACTCCCCAGGGATGGTGTACATCGCCCCGGACAGCCCGCTCAGCCTGCCGGCCATCGTCAGCATCGCCGTGGCCGGCGGCCTCCTCATCATCTTCATCGTGGCGGTGCTCATCGCCTACAAGCGCAAGTCCCGGGAGAGCGACCTCACGCTGAAGCGGCTGCAGATGCAGATGGACAACCTGGAGTCCCGCGTGGCCCTGGAGTGCAAGGAAGGTACTGAGAGGCCGGGCAGGCCAAGGCGGGTGTGCACATGCAAGTGTGTGCTCGTGCACCCCACGCACTATCAAGCCAGGTAGACATGGGGAGCCCCTGCAGAGTCCCCCACTCCGGTCTCCTCTCCTTCTCCCTCATGTGGCCTCTTCCCTCTTTGAAACCCCGCTAGAGCAGTTTCCAGGCCTGAACCCCGCCCACTGGGTAGATGGTCTCCTCTTGGGGTGTCTTGGCATGATACATTCAAGCCCTCTGCAGCGCTCTTCCTGTAGCCGGAAGGAAAGGCTGTCGGGCTGATCTGGGATTTATGAAGAAGTGTTTCACAGCTCATATTTAAAAAAAAAAAAAACCACAAGCAGCACTCTGATAGAATCAGCCACATTAAATCCAAGAAGGGGATCTAGGAGTCAGACTCTCGCCACGCCAGGACATTGTTGGGTAAATCATCCTGGGAGGGTCTGAGCTGGTTCTCAGCTGTGGATGTGGATGCCACATGAATCCGGGGGACCTGGGGTGCTCACGTGCCCTCTGGGGAGGCCCGGCTCTTTCTGATGGGGAAGTGGGTCCATTCCTTCCCCTCCCTGCATCCTTCGGTTGTCAGCACAGCATCCGCCTCGTGGGACTGTTAATTACTGCCTTTTATTATATTTACGCTGCTTAATTTTTTTCTCTGCAATGTACTCTTCCCTCTAATTAGGTGTAGTGATTAGAATCTCTTTTATGTGTGGCAGGCGCGAGGCTTTGAATGTTGGCGGCGCGTGGTGACTTAAGGGAAAGCTGCAGACCGATAAAAAGCCAGCTCCCCCACCCTCCTCCCACCAGCTGAGCACCTCCGCTGCGAGGGCGCAGTGTGTGAGCCAGATTCCTCCGAGTGTTCCAGAGAAGGAGGAATTAGCAGTCAGACAGGGAGTCGGCCTGGGTATCCCTGGAGGGGCCAGGAGGGGCTTGACTTCTGGCTTGGGGGAGATAGAGACATAGAGCGAAGGGCAGGTACAGCTGATCTTGGAAGCATTTTCTAGGGGTGTCCAGAGCTGGATGTTGCGTGTTTGCAGGGCAGGGTAGGTCGAGGCACAGGGATGTCTGAGCTGAGATGGTGAGCGGTACATTATCTTCACAGTTGGGGAGACCCAGCCCTTTGATATGCAAACACACACGCATGTACCCCGACATACTCACCCCCATGTTTGTTTTTTTCAGCTCACACCTTAATGTTGGTGAGGAACTTTGGGGGACAGTATATGCCAAAAAGTCTTGCCAGCTCCTTCACACACAAGCATTTGTCATGTTGCTGTAATTTCTGCTTGGGTGAATTAGGGGTGCTTTGCCTTTGGAGCCACTGTCCTCGATAAGGGTCCCTGTGCCAGTGTGACTAGGAGATACAGGGGTTCAGGAAGAGAACAGCACAAGAGAGGTCTGCAGCAACCTCTCTGGGGACCAGGGGCAATCCCATTCTTTGGATGAAAACAGGGGTATCCCTAGGCCTAATGTCATCCCTGCAGGGTACAGTGGGGCCCCTGTGCAGTGCCTGGAGGTGGGGAGGCTGGTGTGTTCATGTGATCATCAGGGCCCACTGCTTGGGCACAGGGCCTGGTTTTCAAGGGCCCTCGGGCTACAGTGGGCTTGTCCCTCTTTGGTGAGCCCACGAAGTATGCTCTTGTATTTACAGAAATAAAAAGAAATAGTTTAGTCAGGGTCCCCTGATAGTGCTTCTTTACCAGTGTAAGTTCATCCATCCTGGTTGTTTGTGTGTGTGTGCATGTCTTATGTGCACCGTGTGTGTGCATGTGTAGGTATGTCCATGTATGTACACGCGTATGCACTTGAACTAGGAGAGAGGCTTAACAGGGAAAGCACAGGTGCATCACCCTGTCAGGCAGCACAGCATGCTGGGTTTCCTGGGCAGGGGGAGGGGGCAGTCACAGGGTGGGGTGGCATGGATGGTCTTAGTCTCTGTGTCTGTCTGAGGGCCTGAGCTGCATCCACAGACAGCAGTGTGCATAGGCAGAATTTCACGGCAGAAGGAAGGCTAGAGATGCACCCTGCCTATTTATACTGAAGGAAGCTATCCTGCCCGTGTGGCAGAGCCCAGCATGATGGCTGGACACTCCAGTGAGCATGGCCAGCTCTGGGGCTTCAGATGAAAGTGACGTTCAGTCTTACAATGAACCCCACTCTAAAACGCCCTTTCCTTCTTTACCTGACCTCCATCTCTCCTGGCCCCCAGTACAGCGTGAAAACAATAACAAAAAAGCCCTCATCTTCAGATGGGGGGTCACTTGGCCCAAGCAGCAGCCCAGATCTGAGGATAGCCTCCTTCACCCCCATTCCCTCATCATGCTCCGAGAGGAATTGGGCCCAAGACAAGATTATCTGTGCTACATCTTTTAATGCCTGTGTCATCCTCCCAGCTGCCTGAAATGCCCCTGCCCTGCTTATTCCTGCACATCTGCAGACCATTGCTCCCCTCTCCAGGGAGCTGGGTGAGGGTTCTGAGCACTCTGAGGTGGGGTGGCTTTGGTCCAGCTGCCCCAGAGGTCTCACGGGCTTCCCTTTGTGCCAGCCTTTGCCGAGCTGCAGACAGACATCCATGAGCTGACCAGTGACCTGGACGGAGCTGGGATTCCCTTCCTGGACTACAGAACCTACACCATGCGGGTGCTGTTCCCGGGAATTGAAGACCACCCTGTCCTCCGGGATCTTGAGGTGAGGAGCAGTACACGGGGAGGCCTTCCCCATCTCAGTGTTAGCGTAGAGAAAGCTGCTGGGGAATCTCAGGTCCAGGCACCTGGGAGCTGAGGCCGAGGGTGGGGGAAGCTCAAGGTGCCTCTGGAGGAGGCCGAGCCAAGCCAGGGAGCCTCAGAGCAGGGCAGGGAGTAGGGCTTTGGGCCTTGGGGGAGGGGTCACAGATCCCTGGAAAAGTGAATGGAAGTTGAAAAACTCTGCGTACACACAGAAAAAAGAAACCTGGCAAGGGAGTGCAAGAAGTTCGCTGGATCTTTAAGAAACCACGATATAAGGACTGTAGCACTTAATTGGCGCTTAGTAAATATATGTGCAAAGATAAGCGGAGGTGGAAATATGAGCGATAAAAACATAACTGTCTTTTGTACCAGCAGGGACCTCATCTTTTGAACATTTTATCCCACTTACTGTCTAGCAGAGTATCTGGCTTATGCATATATTCATATTACGCTTTGTTCCGAAGGGGAGTTGGAATGACTTATCAAGACAAATACCAGAGAAAAGTGAAACATAAATGAGGAAACCAGAGCAAAATAATGATCATAAAGAATAATCATTATTAGTTGACTGCCAACCCTATCCTGGTGCGGTTTTAAGAACCTGTGTGCACGCATTCATTTAGCCTCCCAAGAGCCTTCCAAAATAGGTACCCCCATTAACTAGTGGGAAGATTAAGGGCACAGACAAGTCCAGGGGTTGTGTGGGGACACACAACTGGGAGGACATGAGTCCAGGCAGTTAGATTCCAGAATCTTCACTCCCAACGATGAGCTTGTCACTTCTGGGTACAAAATCAGTGCCCTGCTCTCTGGCCGTGCATACTCATTAGGATGGATCAAACATCAGGCTAGGATTTATATTGTACATAAAATAAAAACAGACCCATTGCTCAGCCATGGTGAAGCTTTACAGAGAGTGACCCCAGGAAATGACTACATAAGTTTTCAAGGTGACGCCGAACCCAGCACCTCTGTGGAGTTTGAGTCCCCAAGGGCTTTGGACTCACACACATTTCTCCATACTTGTTTGTTGAGTGAAGTGTGTTTCTATAGTGAGGATGCGTGCATTTCTGTCTTTGGACAGGCAATCCCAAGAGGCATTTTCAAACTTTAGGGTGGGCTCCCTGTCCTCATTGGTAGCAAGTTCCACTGTCCCCATGTGTATGTATATGTGTACATGGACAAGAGTTTACACGCGTGGCAGGCACAGGTGGTCCCCCAACTTACAATGGATCAATGTATTAGTTTTCTACTTTAAGCAAAAGCAATATGCATTCAGTAGAAGCCAAGCTGTGGCTTTTGAATTTTGAGCTCTTCCTGGGGTGGTAATTTGTGTTATGATACTTTATTGTGATGTGGGGCAGGAGCAGCAACCTGCAGCTCCTAGTCAGCCTTCTGATGTCATCATGAGGGGAAAGAGCCTTCTGCCAGCCCTTCTTGAAAATCATCAGGAAAGAGAAATGGATGAAACTGTCATTATAGGATCCTCATTACCCAACAATTAATATTAGTTAGTTCAGCACTTCAAACATTCTTCATGCCCAGTGGGCTCTCAGCTTTATATGTTAGTGATGAGAACTTCTGCCACCATTCTGTTTCCCACTTTCAGTATAATATTCAAATAAATGACATGAGCTATCCAACGCTATTACACAATAAGCATTGATTTCACTTCCGTTTTTAAGGTTCACCATGTTGTAACACATGGCAGCACTCCCTTTTTAAGGCTGAATAATATTCTGTTGCCTGTATATGCCACATCTTGGTTCTCCATTCATCTGTCAGTGGACATTGGTGTTGCTTCTCCCTGTTGGTGATTGTGAATAATGCCCTTGCTAACGTGGGTGTGCACATATCTGTGGGAAGTCCAGCCTGCAGTCTTGAGGGCATATGCCAGACATGTGACTTTTTCATTTCCATTAAGCTCATTCATTGCTTGCAGACAGAAGTGAACCTTTACTGTCCCACATTTGGCCTGGGGCTATGTGAAATCCAGCCTCCAATGCAAGATCCTGGGATCTTGTGTGCATCCATCTTTTCTTTTTTGTTCTCAGTTCTCTTGCCCCCAGGAGAGTCACTCCTTGTTGATTTTCTGAGTATAGAGACATTCCAGGGAAGCCACTGGCTAATCTAAAGCAGCGTCTCCTGGCCTTCATGGATGCGGAGATACCTGCCTGTGAAGACACTCTCTGGTCCTGGGAAGCAGACCACCAGGCTGCTGTGAAGCCTGGGCATTTGGGGAAAGAGCTGTGCAGGCAGGGGTCATACACCAGTCCCTTCAAAACAGAGCCAACACCCTCCCCCAATTTCAGCCTATCATCGCCTCCTAAGCGCCAACCTATTGGGTTACAATTAAAATTTACTATCCAGTTTTATATTCACAGACTTCAACTAAATTATCAAACCATCTGGTGAATAAAGAAAGTCCTGTTCCAGAGTGGCATTTGCTTAGGGGGTGGGGTGGCAAGCTACAAAGGGGAATTGTTCTGATAGTCTTTGCCATGATACTGTGCTTGCATCTCCCCCTTCATAAAATGGGGAGAAAATTCCTACCTTCCGCACCCGAGACACGCTGCCGGTGCATTAGCTATCTCGGGGACTCTTGGGCTAATCTGTGCAAAGCAGTCAATGGAGTAGGAAAAAGCAGGTCATAAACCTGCTGCTGTTTAAGTGCGCACTGTGTGTGCCAAGCGCTTCACATACATTATCTTATTTAATGTTCATAAAACATTATGACACAGGCACTCATATTCTCGTTTTACAGATGAGGCAATAGGGCCCTGAGGTGATGGCGTTTTCTTCCAAGTATGAGTCAGTTCATTTCTCTGATTCCAAATCCCATGCTGCCAGCTGACCGGGATGCAATTTTCCCTCCCATGACTTCGCTAAATCTTTCTCCCCTGTGCCCTTACTGCCCGGGAAGCTCTGAGCACAGCCTCTCTCCACGGGTACTCTCTGATCAGCCCTGTGTCCTTGTCTGAGTCCTACCCCCGAGACCAAGGGAGGACTCAGAGCTGACCCAGTCACCTCGCAGGCCCAGGGGTCGGCCTGTATGCAGCCAAGAATGGGGAGGTTGGGTGGGAACTTGGGTTTGGGTTTGGAAATCTCTTACCGCCCTCACCAGCTGGCTGCAGTAGCTTCACTGAGAGGCTGTTATGAGGCCACACTGAGTCTTGCCAGGTCATTCAGAGTTTAGTTGGCACAAAATATGCAATGTGCCAGCACTGTGTATTGCACGCAGTAGGTGAGCAAGAAGTAGTTCTATCTCTCATTAGAGTGAACTGTAGAGGTGTCTTCTGAGGGGGTTGAGGAACAGAGCATGTTAAAACATGTCGCATGTGTGAGGGGGCAGTCGCAAAGGTGGGAGGGAGAGCAGTGGAAGGTGGACATCTGGGCAGACAGAACTGCGCTGAGGGTGAGGGAGGCCATATGTCCTTCCATCGTCAACTCCCTGGCATAGGGGACCTGGGGCACCTTGCAAGAGTCAGAATCACTCGAGGGGAGTGAGAGGTTCTTTGGGAAGGGCTGTGCCATTAGCTGGAATGATCTGTAGGGGGCCCTGGCTGTCCCCACTGGGTTCTGGCAAGTTCCCATCTCTTCTGAGAACTGCCTTCCTACAAGGCCATCCAAGTCCCAGCTCTGCAGCAAGGGACCTGACTGGGGAACATATTCCCACTCTCAGCTTCCAGACCTTCAGCAGCAGCTGAGACCAAGGGGGTCCAGTTTGACGAGAGACTCGAGTGAGGGGTGAGCACACAGCGTTCCCCCCACAGATGGGCCTAGAGACTTGGTAACTGCCTCCAAACTGACCGTCAGAGGGCTGGGCCTGCATCTGAAGGTCTCTGCCCCAGCCAGGTCCTGGCCCCAAGCTCAAAGCCCAGGTGAAGCCAGAAGTCCTGACTCAGAGACCATGGTCTGTCAACAGGACTGCTGAGGCCTGGACAGGTCAGCATTAGGTCAGCTCAGGCCTGGGGATCCTTTAGTTGGTGTGCAACCTGCAGCAGCCTGGCCTCCTGGAGTTCCCAGGGGTTGGGGAGGAGAATGTGTGTGTGATGGTGGGGCCCTGACATGCCCCCTCTACCACCAACCGTGCATTCCCATGAGGGAGTCTGGCAGAAATGGGCTCACGTTCCAGTGCCACCATTATCAACAGTGATGTTCTGTCTGCATCTTGGCTGATTCATCTCTGAACTAGAGACAGGGACTGTGACAGACTTGATGGCCTGCAGTGGGTGGGTGGTGGGTGGACCATCCCCCTGGGACCCACCTACCAGGTCTCCTCTGCAGGTGCCAGGCTACCGGCAGGAGCGTGTGGAGAAAGGGCTGAAGCTCTTTGCCCAGCTCATCAACAACAAGGTGTTCCTGCTGTCCTTCATCCGCACGCTGGAGTCCCAGCGCAGCTTCTCCATGCGGGACCGCGGCAACGTGGCCTCGCTCATCATGACGGTGCTGCAGAGCAAGCTGGAGTACGCCACCGACGTGCTCAAGCAGCTGCTGGCTGACCTCATCGACAAGAACCTGGAGAGCAAGAACCACCCCAAGCTGCTGCTTAGAAGGTAAGAGGCCCCTGTCCGGCCTGCCTGTGGGCAGCTCCCCAGCCTTTCAGGGGAAGAGCCGAGTGCCGGTGTCCCTGTGACCTGCCTGGAGGCCATGCACACTCCAGACCCTCAGGGACGAGTCTGTCCATCGGGGGTGCCTGGCCATGACCACCGTCTGCTCTCCTGAGATTTTTCTTCTGTCCCTATCTGCTTTCCACGTCTCTCTCTCTCTCTCTGCTCTTATTCTCCTTTGATTTGGACCCTTTCTGCTGGGGAATTCTTCTCACGTGGACTCTGTGAGATTGCTCTCCCATCCCCGGCCTTCTCGAAATCAGAACTGGGATTAGGAGAGATCCCCAGGGCCCCTCTCGGACCCACCTCACCATCTCACCATCGGTGATCAGACTTCGGCCTCTTCCCTCACACAGCCCATTCTCTGCATTCATTCACATTTATATCAATTGAAGTAAATGCAATCACAAATCACCCTGGAGCTTATTGGAAATGCAGGCTCTCAGGCCCACCCCACACTGCTGTGAGTGTAGAATCTGCATTGTAGGGAGAAACCTGGGTGCTTTGAATGCATATTCAAGTTTGAGAAGCACCTCCAGCCTGTGTGTGAATTAAACCCCACAGAGGCAACGTGCCTGCCTCAACCCGGCAAGTGTTTCTTGGCGTGAGCTCTGAGCACTGCCTGCTTCCAGGGTCGCTTAGATCCCCCACGGGATCTGCAGGACACCTTGTCCTCCACACAGTTGAAACCCGAATGGTCACATGTGAAAACATTACCATATCCAGGGACTGTGGCATTGCAGGAGACCGAGATTCCCTCACTTGCCCTCCTGCCACTTGAACCTGAAGGCCTTGACTCCTGCAGGCTGTTATTCCAGTGTCTCTGGCCCTCCCGCAGATAAATCCGGAAGCCTCCCACGTCAGGCCGTGGCATCCAGCCCTCCTCCAGGACCACCCAGTTACAGTCTGCTCTGCCTGGCCCCTGCTTTCCACCCTGGCTCTGTGGGTCTGAGGCCAGGCCTCCTGCGTGGGCCAGCATAAGATTTGGCTTTCCCAGCAAGGTGTTTACGCCAGGCTTTTTCCTGGTACAATGGGCATTTGCCTGCACGGCTGCAAAAGGTTGCTCCATACAGGAGCAATCATACAGCTTTGGAAACAGCAAGGTAGAGCGTTTTGATTTTTGTTTTACTTTCACCATGCAGCCACCCACTGGCATAATTCTAGGGTTCCCACCGCCTGCCAGAGCTCCCACCGGCAATTTCCCGGCGTGGTCTCGCTCTGTGTCTCCAAGGCTCCTCCTCCTGTTCTCCATCCGCTCCCCCCCAGATGGCCTCGCTCTCTTTTGCTCGCCTCTGTCTCCCTTTCTTCTTGCCCCTGGCTGCCCCCTTCTTTCGGGAGGCTCCCTTCTCTTCTCATTTCAGCTTTACTTTCTGCTGGCAGCTGCCCAGCTACCGTGGGATTTTAGTTATTAGTGTCTTCTGGCAACTGCAACATTCCGCTCTCTCCAACATACTGCATGGGCTGCGCGCTCCGAAGCTGGCCGCGTGCTTCATGCAAGTTTGAATGGAGTTTGTTGTCTCTAAATGGATGTCACTGAAAGAAAGTTTCCCGTGGCCAGTAACACTGCTGCGGGGCCTTCACTGTGTGAAAGATGCACGCGCTACTCAAAAAGCAACTTCTTATCATTGCAAATGAAGCCCTAGAAGGCTTCTCAGGAATTTCCAAAGTACGTGGAAATCTTTGAGTTAGGACAAGGTCAGTCTCTTGGGCATGACTGGGTATCCAGCTCCACGTTGCTGTCTGCTGTCAGCTCTGGGGCCCTGAAGTAGGGTGAGGGGCTCTGTTTGGTCTAACTGAACTTTCCCCCCGTGATCTACTGCTCTGCCACCTTCCTTTTCATTCTCTTCCCAGTTAGTATCTTCCCAGACCCTGTTCTCACCCAAAGGCACACACACCTATCCTGCCCTGCCTTCACCCCACCACCCCTCCCCTTGCTGTCCTGTCCTGTCCTATAAGGTTTGCTGAGGCTGAACCAGCTAACAAGAAAACTACAAGTGACTGTTTAAGTCTAAATTAATTAAAACTCAGTAAAATTAAAACTTCGCTAACAATATTTCAAGGGCTCAGCGGCCACTGTGGCGTGTTCTGAGTTTTCATAGAACAGGGTTGCTCGAACACAATCCCGCCAAAAACTCACCAGGAGGCTTCCTGGGCCATCTCGCAGCTCTGCAGACTTTCAAGGGCATCTCGGAGTCCACAGAACTCATGTGTTCTTTGATTCTCAAGATTTGGCCTCAAAGTCTTAAATAGCCAGAGCCATGAAGACTTCTGCTGCCTTCCCAATCCCAGGGCCTGACGGGCATTTCTGTCTTTGTCTTGCTCTGTTGGGTCCCTTGGTGACTGGTGACAGGACGGAATCAGTGGCTGAGAAGATGTTGACCAATTGGTTCACTTTCCTGCTCTACAAGTTCCTCAAGGTAGGATTGGATGTGGGGGTATCTCTGCTCTGCCTCAGTTTCCCTGCTAGCTGGGGCATGAACCTATTATCCTCCCCAGCCTGCCCCATTTACCCCACAGACCCCAAGTCCCCAATCCCCATATTTGGGGTAAGAACCCCACCAAGAAATGGAGATTCCCCTCATCATTGAGGGGACAGAGTCTACCCCATCTCTGAAGACAGATCCACATAGTCAGTCCCTGCTGAGAGCCAGTCCTGAAAATTGCATCTCCTGGGTCCTTGCAGTGGAGACCAGCCTCTGGGAGCCCCTGTGCGAGCCCTCAAGCCAACATCGTGTCCACCCTCTCATCCCTGCTTCCCTCTTCCCCTGCCTCCTGCCTCTCCCGGGCCCAGACTTCCTGAGGCTGATAAGCGCCCCAGGCAGGTACAGAAGCTGTGTGTGGCCGCAGATAAGCCCATAATGTGCCTGGGAGGTGGAAGAGACACTCGGCTTCCAATTATTAACTTGTTGTCTAAGGAGTTCACGCCTTGGAGGCCTGACCTCTATCTCCTGATGGGGCAGCAGAGAAAGCAGGGGAGAGAGAAGGGGCAGAGAGGCACACAGGAGGAATAGAGAGCTCTAAAACAGGGCGGGAAAGAGCAGAAGGGGAAGACCCTGGGTCCAGGAGCCAGGAGAAAGGCACATCTGAAAGCGAGGGAATTGACAGACCAACAGTAGAGCAGGTGGGAGAGAGGAGAATTGGGCCCTTGGAGGAAGCAGGGGCGGCGGGAGGGTGGGCTCTGCAGCCGGTGGCCACAAGGCCCAGCATGGCTCTTCTTGTGCCTAGGAGTGTGCTGGGGAGCCCCTCTTCTCCCTGTTCTGTGCCATCAAGCAACAGATGGAGAAGGGGCCCATTGACGCCATCACAGGGGAGGCTCGCTACTCCCTGAGCGAGGACAAGCTCATCCGCCAGCAGATCGACTACAAGACCCTGGTAAGCCAGCCTCACCACTGCCCCTGAGGCTCTGGAAGGTGTACTCTGGTCCTGAGCTGCTCCCACCCAGCAGAGGGAACGCGGGAGAGCTGGGAAGTCACCCCTCCTGGTTTGCCCATTGTGACGACACCCCACCTCCCTCTGAGCCCCAACACCGGGGCATCTGGATGTGAGCACCAATGATTCAGGCACATTTGAGCAACACTCTGCAAAAGAACAGGTGCTTCCAGGCCAGGGCACTGAGTGGTGGCCAGCAGCTGGCTGACCCAGTGAACACGCGGCTCCTTTCTCGCAGGTTCTCTGGCCTGGAGGATTCGCACTTCATCAGTGGTTCCCGGCTGGGGCAGGCAGAGGGCAGGCAGAGAGGACACCAGGGAGAGTTCCTTGCAGCTCCAAAGGCCCCCCTAACCCCCCAGGAGTCTAAGTCAAATATTTCCAAAGCCCAAGCTGCAGAACATGAGGCCAGGGTGGCCTGTGGGAACATGGGGGCTGCTCCTCTGTCAGGTTAGACACCCGCTCCTGATAGACCCCGTTGCCCTCAGAGGCAGCAACGCTCAGCGTGGAGAAGCAGTGGGCTTCGGAATCAGGCGCAGCTAGATAGAGCCCTGACCCCCTCTGACCAGCTGGCGATGGGGGTAGGTCTCTTAAATGCTAGAGTTTGGATTTTTCTATCTGAAAACGTGCGGTGATAACAGGTCCCACTAAAATGGGGGAAGCAGAGACTCATGCCTTACAAAGTCATCCCAAGAGGACTGGGGTGAGGTGTGCTGCCTCTTTCCCACCTGACCGTCCTGCCCGCTGGCTGCCATATCCCTCCAGGCTCAGGGAGCCCACGCTCGGCTTTCTACAGAGAGTTGTGACCGCACACCAGACAGGCCTCTGGGAATTTAGAGAGGACAATTAATGAAGGAGCGAGAAAATAAATACAAGATGAGTGTTGGGGTGATGTTTGGGTGCTGCCCAAAGATGGAGGCATGAGAGATGGGCAAAGTGGGCAGAGAATAGACAAATCTGGAATGTGCCAGCAGGAGAGGAGACCCACACACACAGCCCCAAGCACAGGCCGAAAGAGGGTGTGTGGAGGGTGAACCCCAGGCCCCAAAGGCCAGCTGGGGAGCCTGTCCTCCTGGCTGGGACCCTGGCCACTCTGAGTGATGCCCCACTTCACCTCCGGGGGCAGGCTCTAATGGGCATTTTAACAGATTTGCCAGGACTATGTCCTCCGAGGAGGCCTGTAAGTTGCAGCCAGGGGTGAGGCCTCCTCTTCTTGCAGCCACGGTCCTCTCCAAGGTAGAGGCTCCCATTAAAATGGGAAAGGGACCAAAAAAAATTCCCAAAAATAGAGACCTGAAGAGATTTTTAATGAGCTGGAACTACCGTGGAAGCATCGCGGGCCAGATCTCTTCCCTGCTTTCTCTTTTTTCCCATCTCAGCAGCTCCCCCATTTTGAATCCAACACGCTGGGTTGTGATAATGCTCTCCTCAAATTGCAGCATCCTTTATTTCAGAGGCCAAACTATTGTTAGCGCAGCAGCCTGGTTTCAGATGACTCGACTTAAAGAAAATCCGAGGAACGTGGAGTGGGTCAGGGAGCGCAGCCGTGAAGGTGGAAACACCTGGGGAAGAGACTTCTCGCGAGAAGGGGGAAGAAATTGCTATTGTTTTGCCTGGAGAAGAAATGGCTGCAGGGAGCCTCCTTGGCCACCTTCAGGCCTGTGAAGGGAAACTCTCCCCTGTGCAAGGGGGCTGGGGGGAGAGGCTGGTGAGCAGGAAAAGGAAGAAAGTGTGTGAGAAGCAGATAGAACTGACCAGACACTTCAAGATGGAGTCAACTAGCAAGAAGGGAAGGAGTGGAACTCGACCATGACGTGAGGGGCCTGGGTGCTTGGGGCCAGTTGATGATGAATCGTTCTGGGCTGAGGGATAACTGCTAAGCATGAGACACCCCAAGAGACCCAGAGATGCATCCCCATATAGTCAAATGCAAGTCTTTAGTGTTGAGTGATGACTCAGTAGATGCCAGAATGTGGACTAACCTGGTCTAGGCCCCTCGGCATCACCTGGGAGCCTTCAGGTAGGGCACTAGCTTCTCACCTGGGAGCCTGTTAGAGCACTAGCTGCTCATCTGGGAACCTGCTAGAAATACAGATGCCTACCCAGGAGCCCGCTAGATGCCCACCTGGGAGCCTTCTATAAAACTAGATGCTCACCTGGGAACCTACTAGAATCCTGGATTCTCATCTGGGATCCTGCTAGAAAACTAGGAGCTCCTCTGGGACCCTGCTAGAATGCTAGACGGTCAGCCACCCGGGAGCTGGCCAGGATGCTAGATGATCACATGGGAACCTGCTAGAATGTGAAATGCTCATCTGGGACCTTGTTAAAGTGCTAGATGCTCACCTGGGAGCCTTTTAAAATGCAGACGCTCAGGCCCCATCCAAGACCTCCAGAGTCAGACTGCGTTTTGACAACTCTCCAGTGGTTCTGTTCACATTAAACTTTGAGAAGCATTGATCTGGCAGAAAAACACAAGGCAGGTTACTCAGAAACTGGCCAAGAGACAGGGACTGGGGCATGGGGGAAGGGGACTCTGGTGGACCTCGGGCTGGTCAGTGTCAGGGGACCCTGTCCCTCAGTGGGGCTGTGGCTTCATCTCTGGATGCCCTGAAGTACCCCCAGAGAGTTCTTCACGAGGCCACTGTAAGCCCCAGCAGAGTAGAAATGCCAAGAGGTCATACTCAGGTGGCAGCTTGTGCTTCCTGCTCTCTTGGGGAGGCAGACCAGAAAAACCACACCACTGCCTGACAGAGACTGAATCACACACACAGCACACACGCACATGCACACGCACACGCACACAGCCCAGAGCACAAGGCCACACAAAGCATCAGACTGAGCTTGACCACCAAGGGGGCTCTTAGCAGGAAGGGCATGGCTGGGAGAGGCCACTCAGAGGGACACGAGGTCCAGACTTCCTCCCACCATCTTTTTTAGTTTAGAACATTCTGAGGGTGAGAGTTCAGTTTTATATGTTTCAGAGGTTTTTTCTTCTTAATGGAATAAGCATGTTCCCATTGGAGCTGACGGCAGTCTGGCTGCTAATGAAAGGCAGGTGTCCATCCAGGGCCCGGGTGCCATCGCCAGGAGGAGCAGGAGGAGGGCTGTTGTCTGAGTCTGCAAACCAGATGGGCCACTGGGAATTGGTTGGGGCGGGGGTAGGGGGCAGTGAAAGATCAGAGGGGGAGACCCAGAGGGCTCTGGCAGCCCAGCCAGAAGCAAGGACTGGAGTATGCAGAATGGCGTGGCAGCAACTGGGCCCTATAATCCTCACCCCGTGCCCACTGGGGTCCCTCCTCCTCCAGACCCCGTGCATCCAAGTAGAAAGCCCTCTTGGCGAACAGCAAGAGAAGAAAGTTCTTTGAAAACAGCCCAGAACTTTTAAAGGAATACTGTTTGGTGCTTTTAAGCAGAATCTTAATTTTTCAAACTAGTTCCAGAAACATTAAAGCCCCGAGCAGGCACTGGTCTCTTCCTCCGACACCAGGTTTCAGGTTCAGAAGCAGGAAGGGATCTCAGCCACCTGAAACTGCAGTTTTTAAAGGGCACCATGTTATTTTTGAAGAAAATTAAGGTTTCTTATGGATTCGCCAACCTCCCATCAGCCCGAAGCCCTTACAAAAATCGAAGCTCATGAAATCTTTTGAGACAGGAGTCAGATTCCCATTAGTGTGAATGTGTCTGAGAGGGAGTGAGAAAGACAGACTGGCACACACGGTGGGGGTGGGGATTTCAGGGGGGGGCCGGGGCTGCCGAGATGGCGCCTGTGTGTATGCATGCAGGCGTGCATGTGTGTGCTCGTGCGTGAGAGTGTGAGAAAATACAAGTGCGTGCCTGCATGCATTAGTGTCCATTCTCATGCAGATTTCCCCTCTGTGCCTCCACCTGCTCGCACATTATTCCCTTGGAACAGCCAGGATTTTAATGAAGTTTGTTGTGATGGGAAGTTAAGTGTATGGCTCCTACTCCTGCCGCTTGTCTGGACAGAAGGCCTGAGGGCCTGGGGGGAACACAGTTGGGCTAGAGGACCCCCACGCCTCTCTAGTCCAGCTGCAGGGGAGGACTCTGGATGCAGCTGGGTGTCCCGAAGCCCTTGCTGCTGCCCCCTACCATGTGCCTCCTCTCCCTCATTCTCCCCCAGGTCCTGAGCTGTGTCAACCCAGACAATGCCAACAGCCCGGAGGTCCCAGTGAAGATTCTCAACTGCGACACCATCACGCAGGTCAAGGAGAAGATTCTGGATGCCATCTTCAAGAATGTGCCCTGTTCCCACCGGCCCAAGGCTGCAGATATGGACCTGGGTGAGTAGGCAGCCCCCCAGGCGCTCCCCGAGATATCTGGAGCCGTCTTCCCTTCGCCTGTCAGCAGCAAAGTGCGGCCAGGGTGCAGGGGGCAGAGGGGAGAGGGTCAACAGGTAAGCCTGGCCCCCAGCAGCCCAGGGTGGGTGCCTTCATGGTCCCTAAGAGTCCAGAAGAGGGCGCTTTTATGGCTGCTTAGCAGTAAGAAGCAAGGTGGGATGGCAATCTGCTGGAGACCTGCCTGCAGTCCCTGCATGGGGGTGTCAGTTGTGCAGGGAAGGGGATTTAGAGCCAGAGCTCCCATAGTCTGTGGTCTTGCCACTGTCTTCATTGCATCCCAGGCTACTCCCTTTCCCTCTGCTCTGGATCTGTCACTTTTGCTGACTACCTAAGACAGGAGGGATCTGGGTCAGAGAGGGAGGCTGGAGAGAGAAAATACAGCAAAATAAGATATGACAGCCTGCTGGGGGGCAGGATGAATTTCATTTGAATGTTCCATGAGCAGATCGATCGTGTAGCCTATGTAAACAAGGCCATGCCCCTTGGGGCTGCCTGGGCTTGGCTCCAGATAGTTCTCTGCAGTGTTTCATAGGGTAGTGTCCTGAGGACATCCTAACTGGGAGCCGAAGACTCCAAAGAGGCCATTCAGCATCATGGGTCAATGTCCAGCATACCTGGACTTGAGGCCTGGGGCCACCAAGCCCTATTGGTGACCTCGGTCAAGTTACTTGATCCTTCTGTGCCTTTGTTTCCTTCCCCATAAAATGGAAATAATAATAGTGCTCACCTTATAGTAGAAATTAATGGAGTCGATGCACGTGAAAGCCTTCTACTGGCCCATAGTACACACTGGGTAAGTAATGGTGGCTGCTGTTGCTGATTCTCAGAATAGAACTGATAGGGAAGACGGTGGGGAAACACTGGTCTGCGCCTGTTTGTTGATCCTGGGCATGGAGAAGTCGTGAATGGGTATGTGCTGTGTCTGGAGATTCATGGCAACTTAGGGGTGGGAGGACCTCCAGGGCCCATAATCCCTCCATCTGGCCTCTAAGCTGGCTTTGGCTAAGCCAGCCAAGACAGATGGGCATCCCTGCTATTTGCTAAAATCCACAGGGAATTTTCATCCCCCTCCCTTCCTTGCTCTACCCCCCGCAAATTCTGATGCCTGGAGACGCCAGCTCAAGGAGTTCTGCTCATTCATCTCAATCTTATTGCTTCACTCACTGCATCCTCTTGGTGCATGGTGGGGTGTGTTTGGCCCTGTTCTTGGAGCGCTGGCTCCGGGGGCAGGTGGGGCAGGCATGTGCACCCCTTCATTTTGGAGGTGTCTCTGTGTGTGTTGTTTGGGGGATGGGAAGGAAATGTACATGGGAATTTATGTGGGGGCTTGGGGGGTGGTGTGTGTGGTGCTGGGCAGTGGTCCCTGGTGTGGTCAGAGTGGACAGTGTGTCTGCACACGGTAACTTTGCTGCCATGAGGATCCCACACTGGTGACATGAACCAGTGGGAGAGAAGACAGTTACTGGGAAGGAAGACCCATGGATATTCCGGAGTTGAGCTTACTAGGGTAACCAGGTAGCACCCACCTTTCTTGCTGTTTATCTGTGGGAGCCATGGGGGATTCCAGTCTTGACTTCCCTGTGTCCCTGTCTGCACAGAGTCTGGGAGGTGATTGTGACATAGTGGGGTAATGGGGAGCTGGTATAGGGAGCTTCATGCCGAGGGTATTTGGGACAGCTGTGCATGTGTGCCTGCGTGCATGCCTGCATCTAGAACTGCGTGCCTGCCCCTAGAACTCTGTGCCTCCTGTGCTTAGGAATGGCCAACTTCCCACAAGGGAGGCAGCTGGGGCTGCAGAGCCTGACCTGCAGCACCAAGACCCAACCTGTGCCCTGAAATGCCTCTCTCCCTGACCAGAAAAGGGCTTGGGTGGTGAACACACCCACCCCATGGTGGCTTAAACACTTGATGGATCTCAGGAAGGATGGGGTCATGTTCTTCGAGTTCCTCTCAATCCCAGACTAACAGGGGCACCTCAGGATGCAGAATCAGGGGCCACCCCTTCTGTGCCCACTTGCACTCCTGGAGAGACTGTGTCTTAGCTGGTTGATGCTGCTCAGAGCCAGTTCTCCCTACCTGGAATCCTCACACCTGAGTGTGGGATGGGAAGAGGCTTCTTACTAGCTTTCAAAAATGTCCCCTTAAAAGACTTGGTGGGGGCCTGTCTGGTGGTGCAGGGGTTAAGACACAACCTATGAAACTATCTGCAGCCTCTGCAGCACAAATTCAATCCCCGGCAAGGGAGCAACCCACATGGCACGGCAGACCTCTCCTGGCCCGCTGCTCCCCTCAGCAGTGTACTTCAGTCAATCCACCTGTTCTGTTCCCCACTCTGTCTCTGGTGAATCCTCTCACCACCCCACACCTCTGGCCTGTACCCCAGCTCTTGTATGCATAAATAAACAAATCTTGAAAAAAAAAAGACCTGGTACAAGCCCAGCAAAGTAGAGTATTACTGAAAAGATGTGAAGGTTTCCTCAGCTTTCATGGTCAACCATCTGGAGAGAAGGTGGCAGTATCCAAAGCAGCCAGCAGCCTGACAACCAAGACCTGCCACTCTCTGCACTAGAGGTTGCTCAGGCCAAAGAAGGGCCATCTCCTAGCAGGGACTGGGCCTCACCACAGCTGCTAATGCTTCAGTACAGAGGGGCTGCTTCTCCCATCATGGGTGCTGTGAGAGGAACCCAGAAACAAGGCCCCCACAGCAGGAGTAGATAAAGGGGTGAGGCATAGAAGGGGGGACTCAGAGCCCCATTCCACTGGGGAAGTGGTACCACACTCCCCAGGAAGGCTCCCCATAGTCTATGCTTGCCCTAGGAATGTTCTTTGTTGAAATGAAAAACAGGTTTTGGAGTCACCCCCATAACTGGTCTTCTTTTGACTAAAGCCAGATTATATAACAAGGAAAATGGGGCTTCCTCAGAGACCCAAATGCACCTTCCACACTATTCCACTCAGCCTCATGGCCCCCAAGGGGAGGAAGAGGCAAAGCACATTTTTCCCATCTTGTAGGTAAAAGTGCTTTGAAAGCCTGAAAGCAATTTACAGATGTGAGCTGTGATTATTATCAAAAATTAATCTATGCCAAAGGGACTCGCATACATTGGCACAGAGAGACTCCCTCGCCACGTGCCTGGGAAAGAGACAAGACAGCTAAGCATCACCCCCTTCCCTACCATGCCCCCTGCTCCCAGAGCTGAGGGTGTCAGGCATTAGGCAGAAACTAATGGAGACTAATTCCCTCCCATGCCACCTGCCCCTGCAAAGCAAACCAAGACTGTCCCAGCCCAGCTTGGTGGGAAGCAGGACACTTTAGGCCACCCCTGCAACTGTCCCAAGTAAATCCACCCCCACCCCCTTCCACATGCCCCTCATCATCACTGTGACCCCTCACCTGGCCTAGCCCCTCCCTCCTGACACCTCTGTTCAATGCTCCTCCAGGGAGGGCTTCCCCTGGCCTCCTCCATCCCATCACCAGACTTTAGCAGACACTGAGGAACCAAGATGGGGAACTGAATTAGTTTCTCCAAAGAAACAGGACCATCGCGTCTGTGTATAGAAAGATGTATGTGGAGAAACTGGCTCATGCAGTTAGGGAGAACTTAATTGATTATGGCCTAGCAGGAATCCTAGATGGGGTAACTTAGAAACAACAGAAGTTGATTTCTCATAGAACTGAAGTCTGGCAAGGCCATGGTCAACACATCAGAACAGTCCATGACGGTGAGGCCTTGCTGTGTCCTCACGTTGCAGAGGGGCAAGAGAGCTCTTTGGGGTGTCTTCTATAAAGGCACTAATCCCACTTATGAGGGCTTCACCCTCATGACCCAGTCACCTCCCAAGGCCCTGTGTACCATCACATTGGTTTAAGACTTCAACACAGAATTTGGGTGGGACACTAACATTCAGTGTATAGCATGGAGACTGGCAAATCCAAACTATGTAAGGGAAGGGAGAGGCAGGAGACCCAAGTCACGTCTCCTGGCAGACGTCCCTCCTGCTCGAAGGAAAGCAGCTTTGTTCTATTTGGGCCTTCACCAAATTATATCAAGTCCACTCACATTATGGAGGCCAACTCACTCTGTTCCAACTCCACCAATTTAAATATTTGTCTCATCCAAAAACACCCTCACAGGAACACCCAGAATAATGTTTCACCACATACCTGGGCACCATGGCCCAGCCAAGTTGACAAATAAAAATAACCGTCGCAGGAGCCAAAATGAAGGGCACAGGGCCAGCCTTCATTCCAGTCTGTTGGAAACTAGGGAAGGAAAGATGTCCCAGGCAGGGGCTGGGGACTGTGCCAGCAGGTGGGGCTCAAAACACAAGACCCAGGGCACCCCACTCTGCTCTGCATGGGGCTGTTCTCCCCAGCTTTGTCCCTTTCCAGCCACAGGTATTGGGTATAGGTGTCCCCTTGCATTGCTTAAACTCTCCAACAAACATATCCTAAGAGTCCATCTTGGACCGCCCCCTGACAGGAATGGGGGCCCCCTGTGATGAGGAGAAGGTCCTCACCTCTTCACACAGGAACAGAAGACAAGACTGTTCATATCCTGAGCCACTTGGGACTCTTTCTGTCTCCTCTCTGTCCTCCCCAGAGGAAAGCATTGCTGCTGTTCTGTTTCAATGCTCAAAGGGAAATCCTGCAGCTCAGAGAGGTACAGTGACCAGGCCCTGGCCACACAGCAGGGCGGTGCAGAGAGCACCTCTGCTTTTCCCTACAGTCTCCTGGTAGGCTGGGACCTCCAGAGATCCCTCTAATTTAATGCAAATGCCCTATCAATGGCTCTGGAACTCTGTCACCCTCTCTGTCTCGCCTTCACTTCGTGCTGAAAGGATGTATTTTTTCAAATAAGTAATTCCTCTGTGCAATAAAAAGATACACTATCTTCCGAGTGAAATATAAAGAGTTCACAACCGCAGTCTCCCCAGTTTGCATTTTCCGCTGCACCTGATGAGGAGGACAGATAAAGATAATGGGATTTTTTTCTTTTTTATTTCACCTCCCTCTCTTCCTGGAAGGTGGAAGTGTAACAAATTGGATTGTGCGTGTGTCTGTCCTTTGTGCGTGGAGCCTGGAGCAGGGCTCGGTGCTGCTGGGCAGGAGCTGCCAGAGAGGTCAGAGCTGGCCGTTTTCTCCCGGTGTCTTGCATGTGAATGGCCGGGTCACCTTCCCTCTGTCCCCACACCCACCACCTGTCTTTTTAACTCTTCTCTGACACGGCAGGCAGACACCAGAACCCCTGTGTCCCACATTCAAGAATATCCACTAACCCTAGCTCGTCTCTGTACACTCAAATAGAGCAGAGCTTCCTTTCCCACGGGAGGGGCTTCCGCCCGCCGGGCAGGCACTTTTCAGTTTGCAAGACTCAATACCTTAGGTGCCTGCAGCACATTCCGTGCAGGTGTTTTTTCTTTGTGGCCCAAGCTTCATTGTTCAGTCATTTTATAATTTAGAAACTCCTCTCACAAATAAAATTATTCTTTTTTTTTAACAAAACATTTTTAGATGCTCACACTCTCCTCGGGACAATTTTCTGACCTCATTTGCAGTGGCATTTTTATCCTGTCATGGCCTCCCAGCTCTGCTTGGATGCACGCTTTCCAAACTTGGGGGTGGCAGGGTGTTAAGGGTCTCCGAGCTCTCTATCAGGTGTCCCTTCAGACACCTGCTGATAGGTAGGCAGCTGTGAGTCCCAGCTCCTCCTCTAGTCTTCTGCTGGGGACCCTGTTTGCAAAGGCAGAGTGACCCTGTGCAGGGTTGGTGGGCGCTCCTGGTGGGAACTTGCTCCCAGGGTCCCTGGAGAGGAATGGAGATTGGGGGTGGGTGGGGACATTCACTGTAGGCAGTGAATTGTGCAGTTAGCCCCTCTTGGGTCAGAAGGGTTGGCTCAGCTGGTTCTAGCCAGCCTGGTGGGCGTTGCCCAGCAAGATCCTGCTCAGCCCTCCCAGGCCTGTGTTGGGTGGTGACAAAACAGAAATGGAGATAGAAAGATTGGCCTGTGGGTGAGGGGGTTGTTGCAGAGCTTTAAGTGTTCCCTCCCAGGGGTAAAATAAGGCGTGTGCATGAATATGTGTGTGTATGCATGAGTGTGCACATGCCCCTGTTGTGTGCCTGTCTACACACGCGCACATCACGAAGACCAGAGCCAGTGAGGTGCTGAGCACCCCGGGAGGGTTTCCCTTCTCAGCATAGCACCTGCTGGTAAGTAGGGGACCCTCAGGACACGGCCAGCAATGTGCTCTGTGCACCCCCTCTCCTTCCAGGGCTGGTCTGTGGATGAAACCAGTCATCCCCGACATCAGCACATCCAGCCCCTGCCTTAGCCAGCCCTTGCCATGTCTGCCTTGACCAAGGGCAGCCTTCTCTGGCAGGGACCTCCTGGCTTGTCCCTCGAGTGCTCCCCTTCCCCCATACACACCCCCTGTCCCTGCAGCCCTCAGCTCAACCCCAGACCCCTTAGCATGGCATGCTAGGTCTTTTTTCACTCACTATGGACATTCCTACGTTTTTGAGACAATTACCCAAAAGACAACAGTCACTGCTCACCGATTCCCCATGAGAGCAGAGGCTGGTCTGGCGGGATCGGGGCACCAGATGCTCCTCTTGCAGAGCCTGTGACCCAGCATCTACATCATGAAGAGCATGTTTCTTGCTGCCCTTGACCACCCTGGTGTCCCTCAAATATCACCACTGCCCCAAAACCTCCACTCGTGGAGCAAGCATGGCCGCCCCATCAGCAAACTTGGCTTTATGGGAAGAGAAGTGCTGTGGCTGCTGGGATGCAGGGGCTCAAATTATGTGGGTGGAGACAGCAGCCCGTTAACATTATGGTGCAGCCACTGCTTGGGTCCCCAGCCAGCCATCACTACCTCTCCCCTAGCCCCGGACACACACACCCCCCACCCCACACCTGGTGGACTCAGGCATGGCAGACTCCATGCTGCGTTGTCCCAGGTTGTGGCTACGTATGCCTTCCTGGCTGAGAACTCCTGGCATATGGGGAATCCTCTCCTGCATCTTTGCATTCCATGACCTAGGCCAGTGCCCTGCCCAAAGGAGGAGCCTGGTCAGTGTCCCACCCAAGGGAGGAGCCCAGTCGGTGCCCCGCCCAGGGGAGGAGTCTGGTCGATGCCTCTGCAAGAGAGCACAGCTAGTCAGCAGAATGAGCAGTACCTGGGGTGATGACCTCTAGGTCTGTCCTCTCAATCTACTTGGTTAATTTCTGGAGTAAATTTGTAGAATGAGTGATAATAAATAATTTGAGATCTTTCACTCCTGTCAATGGACATGCCTGGTGCTATTTCTGAGGATCTCAACCTGTCTCAGGTTGCTTGTGGAGCCTCTCACTCTGGCTTTTTGTCTGCCTACCTTGGAGCACCAGGTAGAAATCCTTTGCCACTTGGAAAATAGGCCACCGTCACGCACTCACTCACCCTTTACCTTCCTTCCTTCATTCACTTATGAAGTGAATTTATTCACTTAGTCATTATGACTTTAATGAATATTCAACACATTCTTACTATGTCCCAGGTGCTGGGTCTGCCCTGCTGGTAGGCATTGAGCAGCATCATTTTTATAAATCAAGGACAAACTATCATTCCTTGACTGCCCTGGGGGAGCACCGCCACATTCTGCCCTACTTTTTTCATCCGGGGGCATAGAGGGAGACTGATTTTCATTTGCTTACATAATTACCAGATATGACTCAGAGCCAGGGTTGCTGAGTACAGTTGCACAGGCTGCATATTGCCCAACTTTTGGGTAGCAGTGCAACAAGGAAGTCCTGCCTCTCTCTCCAGAATTAGTTTCCAGCTGTCATTGCTCAGCTCACCACCTGTGTGGCTTGTTTAGATCCCACTGAGTTGTGCTGCAACTCTCGCTGCAAGGGGGCTGGTGAACCAGGAAGCTACTGAACCAGCTACTGAACCAGGAAGCTGTTCCTGGGCTGGTTTCTTTCCCATCTAATCCTGGCAAGTCTCATGTCCTCTTCAGTGGAGGAGACTTCATTCTTCCTTGGATCTAACCAGTGAACTTAGTATCCAAAGCTCACCCCCTGCTTCTCAAGAAGAAGCTGTCTCTACTACCCACTACCCCCACATGCTGACTTGACCCAGCACCATTCACGAGGCAAGCAGGTGAGCCAAGATGTTTGTCCTTCAGGATCTGCCGTGCACCTGGGCTGAAGCCTGAGTCTACTGAATTCTTTGGCTTAAGCTGGTCTCCACCAAAGTCCAACTGTATGGCATGCATATCAGCTTCCTGACCAGCTGGGAGATAATCTTTTGCCATAGCCACTCAAAAATAATATAACATGCATTCATATGGAAAATTAGACTACCAAAGAACACGGCAAACAAAACACAACAGACCCACACTGGCAACCAGGCCTTTCGGCGGGGTGTTCCCCTTCTTGCACACTACCCTCCCAGCCACAGAATTTAATTGCCACCGTCAATTCCAGCTGTGCCATCACTGGCGCTGAGACCCAGTGAGGCTCCTGCTCCACTCCAGTGAGCACTTATCACATCTTCATGTTTTCATGCCTGGATGGGATGGGATGAGATGGCCTGGCATCACTGCAGGAAGCTCTAAGCCAGGCAGCAGGCCAGTCCAGGAACTCGGATGGGTCTTTGGATTTTAGGAACATCTCTACTCGTCCTAAGGGCTGCCACCTCCCTTTCCTGGCCCGTTTTTCATCTGCACCACTAGCCTTGCCACATGCCCCAGGAAGGGAAGAATCAGTGGTGCCTCTGCCAAACTGTGCCTGCTCATAGACCCACAGCTCAGCCTTGACCAGAGAGGAACAGAGGAAGGGAATCTGAAATTGTTTGTGGGGTGAGGACTGCCAGAAACTCATTCCAGCCCCTGAGCTCTTGCAAGTTCAAGACCAGGAGGCATTGTGCAGGGTCCTGGCTGCTTAGAAACCAGATTCCTGGCTTCCTGGCTGGAAGACACATTGCCTTTGAACTTAAAAGGCCATTTTTCCTTTCTGGTGTGTGTATGCGTGCATGTGCAGATGTGTACAGGCACATGCACAAGAGCTGGGGTGTGTCTGGCACACACCTGGGTTTCCATGTGCGTCCATTTCGAGACTGGAATGTCCTTCTGCATCTCCATGTGCCTTGTACCGTGTGTGATGATGGGGATTTGGTAGACGAGAAGCAGTTTTCCATTTCCCCACGTGGGACCCATCAGTGAGCCCTTGTGTTGTAGGTGTCTGGGCCCATGAGGAGAATCTGGGGATGTAACTATATACCTATAGCACCTAATAATTGGGTGTTAGATCGTCAAGATGCTGTTATCCACCTCGGCTGTTATCCCTCGGGGATGTGGCTGTTCCCGCTCACAAGAATCGAGTTTGCTGATCTCGCCATGCATTCAGGCATTTCCCCCTGCCCACCTGTCAGCCTTGGGTGCACAACACACCCCTGGAACCAGAACAGGCCGTGCACTGACTGAGCCTGGAGCGGTGGTACCATTAGCTCCGAGACCTTGCAATCAAGCAAGGTTGATGTATGCCACCTGGCTCTTGCGTAGTGCTTTCTTAACTGCTTTCCACCTGCCTCTTCATTCAACCCCACTCACTAAGTATCTGCTTCCTGACGATGTGGCTGCCCTAGCAAATAGGTAGGCAGGGAAGGCAGATGATGTTACCCCATTTGGAGCAGAGTTTGTTCAGGTGAGAAGTGGGACTCAGCCTTCTGCTCTGGTGGCTCCTGTGCCCGCTCTGGGAGCACCTTCTGGTTCTTCTCCGTCTGTGGATGTGCCCTCGAGATGGCGCCCTGGAGGGGCCTGCACACGGTCCTCCGGCTTCCCATGGGCCCTGAGGACTGCTCTGAGCTGCCACCGCTCTCCCCGCAGAGTGGCGACAAGGCAGCGGGGCGAGGATGATCCTGCAGGACGAAGACATCACCACCAAGATCGAGAATGACTGGAAGAGACTGAACACGCTGGCCCATTACCAGGTGAGATGGACGTGGAAGAGGGAGGCCGACTCACTGGGCAGCTAGCTCCCTGGAGTAACAGGGTGACCCAGTCGCTGGATGCCACGTTCTCGCTCCACTTCACATTTGCTCAGCCAGGAAACCTTGACCTCTCGAGAGCAAGGCTGCTCGCAGGCATACTGCCTGTAGGATGAGGGTGCAGTCCCCTTTCTTGGGAGATCCTGAAGTTGAAGGCTGGTGCTTTCCCAGGGTGGCAGGTAGCTTGTGAAGACCGAGAGTAAGCCACACAGAATGCCAACCAGAGCTCAGATCAGTCTTATTCGATTCTAGGGAAAGCCGGCAGCTCCTGTGGCCCCTAGTTCTCCAGGGAGACACGGCTTGTCCCATTAGGACCAAGCTCATCACGATTTGCCCTTATTTCTGGGTGGCGGAGTTTCTGTGCCCACGCCTCACATGTGCTTGCTTTCCCTGTAGGTGCCGGATGGTTCCGTGGTGGCTTTAGTGTCCAAGCAGGTGACAGCTTACAATGCAGTGAACAACTCCACTGTCTCCAGGACCTCAGCGAGTAAATATGGTGAGTTCACGCGATCGTGCTGGGGAGGAGGCAGCACTGTGGCCCCAGCGGAGGGGGTGTAGGGCAGGCTGACCACCAGAGAGGGAGCGGCAGACCCTGGGGACACTGATGTTGAGAAGGGACCTTCACCCCCAAAACAAAAGGAAAGTCTCACCTTCATGAGTGTCTCATGGGCTCTAAGATGCTTCATTATTTCTGTGAGCCCCATTATCACACATCATGTTCATAACAATCCCACAAATTAAATAATTATTATTTCCTCCTATTATGCAAATTTCCTCCTATTAGCAAATTATAACTCCTGTGTGGAGGCTAAAAGACCTGTAAAGGTCATGCTGTTATGATGCAGTTGAGGGGACTCACAGACCCAGACCCAGGGCTTCAGTTCTTGGGGGCAGGGAAGGGGTGCTGGGTGGGGCTGGAAGCCTGGGGTGGGGCAGTGGGCAGGACACAGCCCATTCTGCCACCATCTGTGGCTGTGCTGCCAGACCCCAGGCAATTGAAATAGCTCCCAGCTTCCCAGGATCATTCTGGATAATAGAAGAAAACCTAAAAAGCACCCATACCCTGCAGGATAGGACCTTCATCTTCCCTTCCTACTCCGCAGCCAGTTCCCCACACCTCAGGTTTCAGCAAATAAAAGGGGAAAATGGGCACAGACCAGGAGTGGGGGTGGGGAGGAGCTCAAGGGCTGTGCCAGTGGCTGGGCTGGTCTGCAGGCAGGAAGGGGCAGGTCACCTGTTCTTACCTCTGTCCTTACCCGTCTACACAGAACATGTCCTCCTGAGACATGACTTGAGCATGTGTACAGAGAAAAGTATGAAAAAGAACAAGCTTGTATTTTTTACAAATTGAGCCATGAAGGGCTGGGCGGTGCAGATACTGGAGGATAATAGGAGGTGGGGAAAGAGTTGGCAGGGTTCCCAGAGATGGTGGGAAAAGCTCCCCGTTTCCGGGACGGGAGTAAGTGGGGGATGGTGACAGTGCAGGCAAACTGCAGGAGGACGAGCCCGCAGCCGGCCTGGGCCGGAGCAGGGTGTACTGTGAGCCGGGAGTGGGGTGCCGAGCGGACTCCCACACGTGGGGTCGTCACCTTGGCAGAGAACATGATCCGGTACACGGGCAGCCCCGACAGCCTCCGCTCACGCACGCCCATGATCACCCCCGACCTGGAGAGCGGAGTCAAGATGTGGCACCTGGTGAAGAACCACGAGCACGGGGACCAGAAGGAGGGGGACCGGGGGAGCAAGATGGTGTCTGAAATCTACCTGACACGACTCCTGGCCACTAAGGTACTGGGGCTTCCACAGGGCGGGGGCACAGTCGGCGGGGGAGTCACTGCCCCACCAAGCAGAAAAGCCCAGGCTGGCGCGTTCCTAGCAAGGGGCTCGCAGCCCCTCCACGACCCGCTTAGGACAGGCGCCGCTCGTCAGCTCCAGGTCTCTCTGCCGGCACAGAACTGCGGCGTCCTTCCCAGCACGGTGCCCCAGGCCAGCACACCGTGTCGGCGTGTGGCGTGAAGCTCTGCTTCCATTCCTCCTCTGTGCCTTTCTCGAAGGAGAGACACTAGCTGCATCCACTCGCATTGTTCCGCCAGGCCTTGTGAAAGAATAGCTCCTTGTCTAGTGATGGAAACTGGGGTTCCTTCCCTAACTTCCCAGACACCAGGTCTAACCTGGGCCTGGAGACCTCGGTGCCTAGGTGAGTCCTCCCTGTGGAGGCCGGCCTGGGCCTGCTCTGCTGCTCTGCCGGTGGTCGGTGGTCGTTGTGTAGCTACGTCTGATGCGACCAGCAGATTGTGCTCATGGGCTCTGACCGAGTGAGTCGTTCATTAGCATCTGTGAAAAGTGCTAAAATAACACCGCCAAAGGGTGTGAAACCAAACCCGCTGTTGGCAGAGGCAGGCTCGCTTAGGTCCAGTCATCAGCGTTACTTCATTTTCCACGTGCAGGATTTAAAGCTGTTAGAGACAGATGAAGAGGGAGGAAAGACTAATCCATGCAGTTACCCCAGGTCACCCAGCAGGCGGGGCCCCGCCCTGTCCTCCTCCCTGAACACCCGCCCCCCCACCCAGGGCACGCTGCAGAAGTTCGTGGATGACCTGTTTGAGACCATCTTCAGCACGGCGCACCGCGGCTCGGCCCTGCCGCTGGCCATCAAGTACATGTTCGACTTCCTGGACGAGCAGGCCGACAAGCACGGCATCCACGACCCCCACGTGCGCCACACCTGGAAGAGCAACTGGTGAGTGGGGGCGCAGGGGCACGGCAGGTGGGCACAGCACTGTCACCTGCAGGGCCTTGCCCAGGCCCACCCCCGGCCTCCCTGCCCTCAATCAGTTATCACACATGTGTAGAAGCAAATGAAGGAGCAAAAAATAACCCACCAAGGGTTGCAGCCAGCTCTCTCTGGTACCTCTAGGTGCCACCTGTGTGCTTGACACGCAGGTCCCTGGGGGCAAAGACCCTGCCAGGCAAGGCCCAGCCCCGCCGTGGGCTGACAGAGTCGGTGAGAGACAGGAAGGCAGCCACGGGAACAGTGTGGCAGATGCCATGGTAGAGACGCCTGTGGCCGTGGAGCGGCAGAGGGCGGCCTCTGAGGTGGGCTCCTCAGTCAAGCCTTAAAGCACATGCAAGAAAGTTCTGTCTCATTGAAGAAGCACTGATGCTCCTTTCTCAGGCTCCCTCTAGGGTAGAGACCTTCCCCTAACTCCCTCGCGTGTCTTGGAGACAAAAGACCGTCTCCGCCCTGGTCCTGCCTGATCATCTGGGTCTTCTCTTTGGTCCCTCTCTCCTCCCCCGGGTATCATCCTCTCTCATCGTTGTCTCCTGTGTAATTTGGGCTTCCTGTTGGCCCTGCCAGGTCAGACATTAGTGTTCTGCTCTTGGCCTGACCCTTGCACAAAGCTGGGGCTCATTAACTCTTGATGAAGATGGGGGCCCAGGTGCTCTCCTATATTGATCTTACCTTGGGCTTGGACTTAGTCCCACCCACTGTGGAAATGCCTCCTTCTAGCTTTAAAATGGTCCCTGTCCCAGGCTGTTCTTCCCCAGCTCATTTCCCAAAGCTGCCCAGCCCCTGCCAACTGCTAGGGATAACTCAGCACTAGGGCACTGCCTGCAGCTGGGCAACCAGTCCTGAGCCCGAAATCCAAACACAGATGAAGCTGCAAGTCAGCCTGCAGAGCTGAAACATTACTCGGTGCCGTTTGTGCTGGGCGCTCGTCAACTGCCTCTGAAGGAGAGCGCTTTCTCCCCTGACACTGGGAATCCAGAGGCTCAGACCACAGAACTGAGGCTGGGGTGCCTGCCACGCTCACTCGTGGAGTCCTTCTGGCCTTTCTCAAATACGACTCTTAGAATCTGGATCCTCATTCAGCGGCAACACTGGGCAAAGCCCGTTCCTTCCGTTGCAAGGTTCATCCCTCGGGTCTGGTCTCAGCACCCGCCTCTGTGTCAGACCGTGTTGGATGCATCTCATCTTTTTTGCATGGTGCTGTGAATCTATCCAAGGGGCATGTCCTACTGTGTCTGCTTCCTCCTCACCACCCCATTTGATATCAGCATCCTGCAAAACTTACTGCCTGCCCAGACTTTCTCTGAGTCCTGGTAGCATAGCTGGTATTTCCAAAACACCCCTCCCTGCTCTTATAGCCCATTGCAAGCAGAATCCCTGAAATGACTTTTGTTCTCAGCCCACACCTCCCTCCTGCTGGACCACCTCCAAGCTGCAATACTGTACTAGGGGTGGAGGCAGATTCTTCCTCACACCAGCTCACCCAGGTCCGCGGGTATCATGGGAAAGACTTGCAGTTCCAGGGTACCAAGGTGTAGACAGTGATACCGAGCCCAGGTTTTCTCACCTCAGGATGCTTCTTTCTTTTTTTTTTTTTAAAGATTTATTTATTTATGCATACAAGAGCTGGGGTACAGGCCAGAGGTGTGGGGGGTGGGGTGAGAGGATTTACCAGAGACCGAGTGGGGAGCAGAACAGGCAGACTGACAAAATACACTGCTGAGGGGAGCAGCAGGCAAGACAGGAGAGGTCTGCCACGCCATGTGGGTTTCTCCCTGGCTGGGGTTATCGAACTCATGCTGCAGAGGCTGCGGATTGCTTCGTAGTACGGTACTTAACCCCTTGCGCCACCAGGAAGGCCCCACAAGATGCTTCTTTGACCCCAAATGTTCTGCCCAGACACAGAGCAGTTAGTCCAGTAATTACGAGTCTGTGTACTGACTTGGCACTAATTGTCCTCCAAGTTAATTGATTTGATTGAGGTTTGATGGAGTTGATTGAAAAGAGATGGTTTCTTTATTCCTGGTCAAAGTTTTAACTCACCTTCTCCCCACCCCCTTTCCACACACCCCCTTCTCTTTTCTCTTTTAAATAAACCTCCTGCTCATTTAGCCTGAGTGGCTGCAATCAACCAGAGATTAGTGCCATCACTAATGTTAATAATATGCTAATATTTCATTAGGCAGGAGCCTTGGTGTGCCTCCCTGTTTGATTTGCCTGTCAGCACAACTGGCGTCAGGAGGGGGAGAGTTGGGGAGAACAGCCAGAGCAGCAAGCAGGGACTCCCAGAGTCCCTCTTCTGGGTGGGGCTTCTGCACAGAGAAAGATTACCCTGAGACCTCCCCACCTGGGCAGCCAGGAGCCCCTCTTCCAGGGCCTTGACCCAGCTGTCACGGTCTCCCCCAGCAGCTGCCAGGGCCTTGATGTCACCCCTGTAGCCTGACTCCAAGCTGACCCTTTATTTCCTACTCTGGGTTTCCCAGGATCAAACAAGTAGCACTTGATGGGGTCAGATCTCAACTCTGCCTGCCCGGGCTCTGCACTGCGCTCTTTGCAGGAACTTAATAAATACTTGCTGATTGATTGGCAGCAAGAATGTGAGGGCTTGCTGTCTTTATAGCGTGGGTTGCGTGTACATCCTGGCTGCTGGGAGATACAACAGATATGGAGATACTGTACTGGCTCCTATTGAAATCATGTCCTTCTAAGAGCTCGACATCTAAGAGGCAAGCCAGCCACCTACGATCATTATAACGACGACCCACAGTGAGAACAGCAACCCAGACTACCACAGAACAGCAGAACAAGTGGCAGGAGGTGAAGAGCTGGGGGCAGAGGGAGCGGGATAAGTGACCCTTGCTTGACGCCACCGGCTTCCTGACCCCCATCCCAGCAGGATGGGGGCAGTGCAGGCTGCGCTTCCAGTTCTGGGACCAGCAGACTGCTAGGATAATGTTGTTTTGCATGGCATTATTTCCTTATAATAATTATTTCCATTCTCCCCACATCTGCATGACTTTCCCCCGATACTCCAGTTTCCTCCCACATCGTGAGGTTTGATCATCCCAGTAGGAATGAGTGGGGTGGTGGGGGTGTGTTCGAGGCACCCTGAGGTGGAAGGGTGTCCTGTCTAGGTTTGGACCTCGCCTTGTGCCCTGAGCTGCTGGGAGATGCTCCCAACAACCATGATGCCAAACTGGCATGAGCAGGTTGGAAAATGAATGAATCCAAATGATTGTAGACTATTAGAAGCATTCAGGGTCTTTATTTAAAAGTTTGGTGATGTGACCATAAGGATACCTTAGGCCTGAACTCTGGCTTACAAGAGTTAACCTGTGGTCAGATGGGTTTCATCATACCTCCTTCCACTTAAAGTCACAGTTTCGAAGAACTGTCGACTCCTTAAGTGAGAACTCACTGTGCAACCAGAGGGGCAGATGGTCAGGTTTCTCCTGACACCCCAGGACCCTTCCTGGCCACAGTCAGAGTCACTTGGGGTTAGAAACTGCATGTTCCTTTTCTTTGCCTTTGTTTATATGAGTCCCCGCCATGCAGCACCTCCCACGGCTCCTCCAGGCCTCACCCAGCTAAGAGACACCGCTGCCTCTTTAAAACTCAGGCCATCCTGTGTCACCCTCTCTGTGAGACTTCCTGGGCACTAGGTGGCTCTGGCAACCTTCCCCTTGCCCCACAGAGGACCCTGCTTGGGCTCTTGCACCTTAGTTCTCACAGTGTGTCCTTGGCTGCATGCGATTCCCCAGCAACTCCCAGGATGCAGGCTTCTTGGGAGCAGAGGGTGTGTCTTAGGCATGCTGTGGCCCCAGTTGCTAACAGAGCTCCTGATCTGGTGGAGGTGCTGACCAGAAGAAAGAGGGAGTGGAAGAAGGAAACACAGTGGCAGTTTAGGGTTTGTGGATGTGGGTTTTTAAGCACCAGCTTGAAGACGAGGAATCCAGCACCTTCACCATGCAGAATAAGCTGCTTTTTTTTTTAAAGATTTATTTATTCATTTATACAAGAACTGGGGTACAGGCACAGGAGAGTGAGAGGATTCACCAGAGACAGAGTGGGAAACAGAACAGGAAGCTGACTAAATACACTGCTGAGGGGAGCTGCGGGCGAGACAGGAGAGGTCTGCCGTGCCATGTGGGACCCTCGCCGGCTGGCTGGGATTGAACCAGCACTGCAGAGGCCACAGACAACTTCACAGTGCAGCACTCAGAGGCCCCAGGGGAGGGCCAGAGTAAGCTGCTTTTACCAGATGGGGATGCAGTGCATGGCAGAGGGTAAGATACCAAGCCTGCATTCCAGGTTGCTCTTTCCAAGTTTACCAACTGGATGTGCTTTGTATCTAGCCTAGGGTAGAGCATGGAAGAAAGTCAGAAGTCCCACACATGCTGCCTCTGACCCTCCAACCTGGTGCTCTTAGGGAGGACTGTGAGTCCTGCTGTGCAAGCTGAGCAGCAAACCCCTCTCCAGTGCCATCAACATCGTCTCTGTGGGTGGAGTGTTTAATCTTGCGGAGCCTCAGTTCCCTGGAAAATAAATTGGGGGCATAGAGAAGACTCTAAGAATAGTTGGTTCCCAGCCTTTTCTTTTTCTCCAAAGAAGACTCCAGACCAAGCTGCAGACCCTCCCTGAGTCTCTCCCCTGACCATCTGCTCTTGCCTCCACACAGCCTACCCTAAGGTTTTGGGTCAACATGATCAAGAATCCCCAGTTCGTGTTTGATATCCACAAGAACAGCATCACGGACGCCTGCCTGTCAGTGGTGGCTCAGACCTTCATGGACTCCTGCTCCACGTCGGAGCACCGACTGGGCAAGGATTCACCCTCCAACAAGCTGCTGTATGCCAAGGACATCCCCAGCTACAAGAACTGGGTGGAGAGGTGAGTGCTGGCCAGGGGACCTCACAAGCAACTTCCCTTGACCAAGGTCCCACCCCTCTGATGGGCTGGCACTTACAGAAGGCTCATTCACAAAGCCTGACCCCGCAATTGCAACCCACACCCACACCAACCCAGCATGTCAGCTGAAACAGGAACCGGTAAGTTGACTCTTCCCTGCATGGGAAGAGTGCCTGAAAGACCCAAGAAGGACCTACAGTTCCCTTTTGCACTCCCCACCCAAAACAAAACTTGTAGGTACCTGGGGTCTTGCCACAGAAAGACTAGAGGCCTCTGCTCACCTGCCAGTTCTCCCGATGTCTTGTGGGGATGTCATGGTGTGTCATTCTCATATGATGATTCCTCGATGCCCCAGGCTCTCAGCCAGAGGGCCCTGGATCTGATGGCACTCCGGAGACCGGGTTCCACCCATAAGCTGTGGAGTCAGGTTTCACTTGGTGCAAAGTTAATTCATGGTAATTAGAACATCGCTGGTCTAAGTCACAGAAGTTCAATATGCCTCGCACCCGACCTAAGCAGCCAGATGAAGCTTTGTTTATTTCTTCATTTCAGTAACCCTAGAATTCAAGAGGACAGGAATTTGGTCTCATTCTGTGCCTATGAAGAAATAGACACACAGAATGGCTTAGTTATGGGCCTATGATGACTTATATGGCTAGGACAAAACCAAATCCCCAAACTTGACCAACTTCCAGGTTTTCTTTCTATTCTTTATGAGACTTTTAGACAGCCCTCCACCAGCCCCTCTTCTCTAGGAAGAAGGGGCCTCTTCTGCCCAGAGGGCATGACCCCACCCCCAGGTATGTGACTTGCTGAGTGATGGACCAGATGTCAGCGCACATTCACCCTCTGATCAAGCTCCTTGTGCAGTGAGCAACCTGCACAACTGTACACGACAGTCCCAACTTTAGTCTTTTTCTCTTTTTACCAAGTAATTTCAAAATAGTAAACTAGGATATAAGCTCAGCTTTGATGCCTTTTTGAAGAGTAAAAAAGACCAGAAATTTCTCCTGACTTGGTGACTGAAGACAAAATGAACAGTATCCCTTTGCTCATGACAGGGATATGGCCTCTGTTACTCTCTTTATACTGGAAACTGCCTGTCCTGATATAGTTCTGCTAGAAAGGCTGAATTTTACTTTTCCCCACTCCTCTGTTCTTTGACACCATCCCTGTCCTTTCCAGCAACTGCCCAAGGTGGCTGTGTGGCCTCAGCCATCACAGGGAGAGCAAACTCTTTTGTCCTTGTATCTGATGATGTCTGAGTCACCGAGAGCCTCTCACCTTCCTGTCGTAGACAGAGGCTCATTCCTCTGATGACAGAGCTGCCAGGAGCAAGCCCTCCTGTGTGGCCAGCTGGCTCTGCAGCACAGAGAGAGGGGAGGCAGCAGTGGGCCGTGGTCATGTGGGTGCTGAAGGAGAGTGGCTATGACAGGACCTCAGTGGGGGTGCAAGCAGCAGGGCCATGGCGGGCTGGGCACATTAGGGAAACATCTGTATAGAGGACCCCTCCCTGAACACACCTGGCTAGTAGGAGGGGAGAATAATGCATGTGCCAGCTCCTGGCTTCTTCCACTGGCTGCCCGATGAGATTTGTGCATCTGCTGTAGGTCACGAGGAACCCCGGTCCATTTGGTATTTTTAGGAGTTGATCGTTTCCATTTCTTATCCCACTAGTTTCTTAGCAACCAATGCACACTCAGGAAAGTCATCTTTCACTTGCTCGAGGTCCCAGATCCTTTCTGCTCTCACTCTGGGATGAGGGTCAAAGCAGAAGGATGAGAACAGCCCAGCGGAGACTGGTATCGAGCCCAGAGCGCCTCTCCCTTGGTGAATGCATCCCACTCCCCTTCCCTGAGGAGCTGGCCTCTTGCTTACCTGGCTGCTGGGAAGGGAAGTCTGGCAGGGGGACCTTCTCCAGACCCACAATGCCCTCACCCTGCGCCACGTCCCAGGGCTGTCTGCCTCTGCTTCAGAAGAGGGATGGTAGAACCCTCCTCCTGCAACCCAGGCCTGCCCACTTCAGAACCAGCTACGGGCTGCGGGCACACAGACAGCTGCAGGACGTGGGCGTAGGGACTCGCCGTGGGGGAGCAGGCCCTGCATGCTTCAGGAGAGGGTCTTCTGTCCTGTCACAGCCAAGAACTAGGGTCTGCCCTGACTGGCCCCTCTGTAGAGTGGGGAGAAAGCATATGGACTCAGGAGGCCTCATTAACTCTGCTGCTTCAACAGCCTAGATGAATCTGTCGCACCCGGGCTGCCTGTGCTCTCTAGAACTTCATCTGCCCATCCTCCCGTGGTCTCCCACCCTCCCGCCTCGCATGCTCTCCCCCATCCTTCATGCATCCTCCTCATTCTCCCTGTATCTTTTCATCCATCCTCTCACTCATCCTCTCTCCTCCATCCGTTTATCTATCCTCTCTCCCGCCCTCCTGCCTCCCCCCGGCCCCCACTAACACCCCTCCACTCCCCCGCCATCCTCTCCTGCATCCTTCCTCCTGCCCTTCCATCCAGCCTCCCTCCAGCCTCCTTCCATTCTTCCATCCCCTTCCTGCCTCCAAGTACCTTGCTGTGCTGGTGTTGGTGGCACGACAGCAGACACCCAGGCTTCATCGCCTGGCTCCAAGTTTTAGGGCTTTTTCTTGTTGCCACTTCTAGAGAAAGGGAAGAGAATCTTGGTTCCCCCAAAGCAACCCACAACTACTCTCTCTCAGAGAGCAGAGCTCCACACGGTTGTCTCCGCAAGCTGGTGCGGCGTGATCAGTTGCGATTTCCATTTGATGACCCTTCGCAGTGAACTGTCCGTGCGCTCCTGCTGGGTCGTGATGGCCTCTCATTGTAATCGGGAGGCGTGTCAAGGTCATCCCGCAGCAACATCACCCTCCACACTTGCAGTCACGGGCTTTCTGTGTCGGGACGCGTGCCGTGGCGCCTCCGTGGCCCACCGGGACCTGCACGAGGGCGTGCCACACCTGGAATGCCATCTATCACATGTGTCAGCACGTGAAAGAGGTTAAGAATTTTAAAGCTTTCAATATGCCTCCTAAGGAAGCCATCCATTCAAAATATAAAGCAGTGACAGTCCACCCCAGAGCAGTCCTGGAGGGAAAGCATAGTCATCTCATTAACTTACTCATTAATCCGTGAGGCAGCCATGTGGGGGATCCCTCAGGACTGTACCAGGCTCTCGGGGTATATTAGACTAGATCCTTCCCTGGTGGCTGGTGTGGTCAAGGAAGACACCCAGGTCCCTGGCAGACCCCAGGAGCTGTCAGAGTGGGGGCTCAAAGAGTGGGGGCCTCATTCTGCTGGGCCTGGAGAGGTGTGTGTGTCCTGGAGGAAAGACCTGGAAGGCAATTTCCAGGGTACATCAGCATATCAGGCCCTGAATGTTGTTCATTTCTGCATCTTCAGCCTTGAGGTGTTTGAAGGGATGACAACACTCGGTTTATCCGTAAGAGTTCAGGGCGCTGGATACCTTCTCCGTCCCTGGAGCTGTCCTGAAGGCAGAGATAAGACTACCATTACGCATTGGGCCCAGTGCACAGAATCCAGCTCCCTGGGACCTGCCTTCAGAGGGGTTCCCCAAAACAACGTCAGGGCTGTAAAGCTGCCGGTGTCCCAGTAGGCATGAGCAAACTCAGCAAATAAGGCTGACAAGGCCGGTGGTGAGAGTCAGACCTCCCCAGCAGACCACAATCAGCTCGGTGGGGGCTCTGGGGGACTCTCAAAGCTCTAGTTCCTTCTGAAGGGGCTCATCAGCAGGTGGAAATTCAGTGGAGTAAGTTCAAGTGCAGGGGACCGGGCTGACCTTCCCCTTCCTCTCTGCACAGTCAGCTGATAAGAACACTTGTTTGAAGTTCATTAATGGGCATAACTGCATTCTCCATCATCAGTGAGGCTTCTCAGTGGCTGAGCCCAGCACCGAGGTCAGCATAGCTGGGAAAGGAGCGATTACACACACTGTGGAGACATGCCAGGCCAGGGTCATCATCAGGCTGCAGGGGGCTGGCAAAGGGGTGCCTGGGTTGGGCAGAGCCCCCAAGAGGAGCAAGGTGAGGTCAAGGCAGCGTCAGCAAAGCCCTGCAGGAGGACGGGCCCACTGAGCAGCAGGCAGGGCTGGGGGTGAGCATGAGGAGGGTATTAGCAGGACCCCAGTCCCCAGGCTCATCCAGGACACTGAGGTGTCCACAGCCACCCAGTGACTGAGCACCTGGGAAGATGAGGTCACATGGTCCATCTGCCTTTGTGTGTGGCTGCAGTGTCCTGCCCACCGCAGAGGCCAGGGAGGTCTGGCCTGACCCCAAGGTTAAATCAATGCAGAGCATGCCCAGGTCCAGGTTGCCTTCAGGTGAGATTAGAACCCAGCCCTCGCCCCACTCCCCCCTCAGCCCTCCATACCCTCCCCCTTCCACATTTTCTGAATATTCTCTTTGGAGAGCTGGGCCTTGGTATGAGACTAGCCACTGCGACGGGACATAGTGGTGGCGTCTCCTGTTTCCAGTGCAGATCAGGGCCCCCTAACTTGGGCTCATGTGCCTCTCAGGGGCCAGGAAGGCGGTTGTTTGCACACAGCCTGACACAAACAGCCATCTTGCTGTGCAAGGTTTCACAGGCAGGGAGCAGAAGCCTGGTTCTATACTTCTGATGATCATGTCCTGTCAGTGGGGGCTTTTCATCCAGCCTGATGGTCAGTGGGTGACAGTGTCCCATCTGGAGAAAGGGCAGGACCTCCCCTATAAGCAGGGCCTATCTGACTGCAGGGCACAGGGCAGAAGCAAGATCTGTCTTTTGTTAATGTTTTTCCCTGATACAACCTGGAGGATAAACCTTAATTTGGCAAGTACATTGGGGCGCAGAACCCCAAGGAGAGAGGCACGCAGGCATCCCGGGGAAGGCAAGGCAGGCGCCGTGCAGAGACCCCTGGCTCTCCACTCTAAAATGGAACATTGGTATTTATTGCGTCCCAGAAATAGGTCGATGAATCCAGTCTCTCTGGAAATCATACCTGTCGTGAAATTTCCCGACCCCAAGGTACCTGAGGGTATTTGGGGTGGGTTGCAGGCCTGGAGGAGAGTGGGCTCCTCTGGGATGGAACAAGGAACCAAAATGAAACAGGACAGGGAACTTTCCAGAAGGGCTTAAATGATGGGGAGGGGCAGGGAGCAGAGGCCCACATTGGGAGAAGATGGTGAAGGATAGACGTCCATATGGTGCCGGATGAGCCCCTCTGAGGAGGGCCATCCCACCCAGCTCTGGTCCTTGGCCCTGTCAGGACAGCTTGTCCTGGCCCCAGCCCTCCTGCCACACTGCAGTCAGCTCAGCAAAGCAATTGGCAGGGGTGTCTGTGTGTGACCAGGTTCCTGAGGGGCGCCTTCCCTTATCTTCTGCACCCCCTATTTATCTCGCTCCCACTGCCTTTTGCAATGGCTGCATCCCATGCTGTGGCTCAAAGCAGGGCAGCCGCACCCCCCTCACCCACCCTGGCAATGCTCTGGGGCAGATTGAACCACCACAGCGTGCAGGCCCTGGAGCCCAAAGGCTCCAGTCCTACATGAGTGCGCCCCTGAGGCCTCCACTGCTCCTGGCACTGATGGAGTGGGTACAGGTAGGGGAGCAGGCCCAGGACTGATGTGCTCATGATCAGTAGTGTGAGGGACAGGAGCTGGGAGAGATGCAGGGCCCAGGGAGGTTCTGTGAGCCCTAACACAGCCCGTCAATTCTTGAGTCCTGGGAACCCCAGCACCCATCATTGTCCTCTGCACATACACAGGCCAGAGAGAGTGCCCCTCCTAAAACCTTGTGCCCCAGATCCCTCACTTGCCACACCCTGGTCTCTGGTGACAGCTCCCCATGCGCCCTCTCTGAACTGTCAGGCTGGCTTTCCCCGGCCCTGGCATCCAGTGTGGCCTGAGCCCGGGGCCCGCAGCACTGCTTCCTGGGTCTGCTTCCCCATGTGCCTCTGCAGTCACCTGGTCCCTTCTATGGAGCCCCCATCCAGAAGGTGCCTGGGAGGAGAGGGTGAGCCATGGGGACACTGGGACCCTTCGGTGCCTCATTAGGAAACTGCACAACTCCCCTCTGGCAGGGGAGCTGGGGTTTGCTGCATAAAATGTCAAATTGCAGAAATTAAAAATGTAAATGCTGGCATCTAATTAACCAGTTGACAGCAGTGCACAGCTGCAAGTGACAGTGACTGATTGCCTTCTGCCAGCCTCTCTCCCCAAGCAGCCCAGCCCCGCCCACCTCCCCGTTAACCCCTAGAGAGGGGAAGGCCAGAGGCTCTGCTTGAAAGAGTCCGGAGGCCCGGTGGAGGGGACCTCTCGGGTTTGTGGGAAGGGGTTACAGGGACTCGAGAGACCGGCTGGACCATTCTTATGGCTACTCAGGAGCAGGGATGACGCAGGAGATGCGTCCCACGCCTGTCTACCCTCTGCCTATGCCTGGGCCACACGACAGCTTCCTTCCCTCTGTGGCCCTGGGTGCAAGGCCGGGCCAGACTCGATGCCTGGAGGGAGAGAGTCCTTAGGGAGCCCTACACAGACACCACTGGCCCAGGCGGGTGCCGGGAGTTTCCATGCGTCTTCCTCTCATGCACGGCTCCAGCAACTTGCTTCCCCACGCCCGTCCCTTGGCAGGTATTACTCAGACATCGGGAAGATGCCGGCCATCAGCGACCAGGACATGAACGCCTACCTGGCCGAGCAGTCCCGGATGCACATGAACGAGTTCAACACCATGAGTGCTCTCTCGGAGATCTTCTCCTACGTCGGCAAGTACAGCGAGGAGGTGAGCCCGGCCAGCAGGGCCTGCGGGGAGGGACTGGGGCAGAGAGCAGAGAACACCCAGCCTACGGTGGCACGGTGCGCAAGAGCACCCCCACCCCCACCTCCCCGCTCCCCGATGGTGCAGTGTCTGCTGCGCTGGATGCGGGGCTGTGCTCCAAAGACTGGGACTCTAGAGGTTTCCCTTCTGCACATTCCTCATTAAACCCCCTTCTCCGATATACAGATAAGGTGTTGCTTTTATTTATTTTTTTCTCTTTTTATTCTTTCTTCTTCCCCACATTCCTACTCTTATTTTGTCCCATGTCTCTCTCGGATCTAATTCTATTTAAACAAGGACCTCCCTACTCCCATGGGCAGGCGACGTGGTCTGTACCACACAGACTAGGCCAGAGGAGAACAGCAGAGGACAGAGCAGGACAGGACAGGAGCGAGTCAGAACAGAGCACTATTGGAACAGAGTAGAATGGAGTCCATTTAACTGGTGCCCTCCCCACTTGGAAAACCTCCTTTGGGGTTTTTGTCCCCGTAGACACCGCCTACGTTCGGGCCAGTACAAAAGTACTTATGAAGTTTTCTGAGCCACGCAAGCTTAGACCAAATGGGTTCTGAACCCACGTCCCTGAACAGCACCCAACCACTCTTTTAATAAAGTCGGGGAGGGCCTTCCCTGGTGGCGCAGAGGTTGAGCACTGGGCTGCGAGGCTGCCCGCAGCCTCTGCAGCACCGGTTCGTTCCCCGTCCCCCCGGCCACCGGCGAGGGTCCCACAAAAATAAATAAATAAATAAAGTTGGTGACAAGAGCTGAAGCCAGAGTTCCCAGCTCTCTACTTTCTCCCAGCCTTGTTCCTGAGAGAAGGGCTAGGGCCCCAGGACACAGACGGCCTCCCAGCAGGCCGCCCCAGTGTCCCAGCAATATGCTGTGAGCCTTGGGTGAAGGGGAAGCCTGGGGGGTGGTGCTCTTAGAGCTGGCCCAGGGCAAAGTTTCACATGCCCGCCCGCCCCCCCCATGAAAGAGAAGTAAGGCCCCCACAGAGTAAACTGTGTCAGAAGGCAACTGGAAAATCCTCTCATCTTGGAAAACCTGTGCCTTTCCCTATAGGTTATACATCCACTCTCAGAATGTTCTGTCTGTATGAACTGTCTACGCCAGTAACTGGCTGTTCTTGGCCAGCCCAGATGTTGGCAACTCTCACTTGGTCTTTTCCATTAAAAATACATTTAATGGGCCTGGGAGCCCGAAGCTCTAGGAGCCTCCCCTCAAGCCTGCAGCCTCCTCTTCCCTCTCCTTGTCTCTCCCTTAGACCCCAGCACCAGGAGCTTCCTGACAGTGTGTCCGGTGCCCGCGGCGGCCCTGTCCTGGCTGCTCACAGGAGTTATCTGGCTTTATTCTCTCCACTGGAGCAGACTAGAGCGGGGCTGCCAGTTCCCACATCTGACAGATGAGTCAGTGAGGGTTCAGAGGGGACACATGTTTCACCCCACTTGAGACCGATTACCCGTAACCCCCATATCTCCTGGGTCTGAGTCCAGTTCTGACACATTTATCTGTCGCGTGCACAATCATTCACTGTCATTGTCCTGCACCAACCGTCTGATCCCAGAAAAGGCCTTGGCAGACAACCTCCCTTGGGTGGTAATGACCGGAAAAGCTGAAGACATAACTCTTCTAGGGATATTTGTTTATAACAGGTAACATTAAGCCAAACACTTTGGAAATTCTGGGTCTCGGGGAGCTGAAGGGGAAGTTTTCCTTCTTTGGATTTCCTGATGTCCGTGAAATAACATCACACCTGGACCCGGTGCTCCGCTCTCCCCTCTGGCATGGAACTGCCAGCCATTTAACCTGCAGGCACCTCACATCCTTGCATAGGTGTCTTCTGACCTGCTGCCAGCTGTCATGACCAAATGAGCACACACATTTACTCAGACATGCCAGGTGTGTGTGCTCCATGATCCTGGGGTGCAGACACATTGTGCCTGCGTCCAACTGCCCCCACCCCTCCCCATTCCTGTTCCCCAGGCTGCCTGCTTGCTCCACAGCTCATAGGTGCATCTGCTCATGTGTGTGACCCCTGGGAACCCAGATTTAGACACACCAACTTGTAACCTCCCTGTCCTTGCTCCTTCTACAGATCCTTGGACCTCTGGACCATGATGACCAGTGCGGGAAGCAGAAACTGGCCTACAAACTAGAACAAGTCATAACCCTCATGAGCTTAGACAGCTGAGACCCGTCCTTCCAGGGCCACCCTGGAGGGAGGGACACACCAAGCCGTGCCTCAGTCTAGATTATCATCTTTACCAAGTGCAAGTTCCGACTGGCGTCAGCAGCACCCCCTGAGCAGCGCTGTCTCTCTTTCTTTCTCTCTCTGCCTCTTTCTGTCTCTCCCTCCTGCCTGGATACCTTCTCTTTCAGTTGCTCAGCCAACATGATTGAACCAAGCCACCGACCCTCAGTTCATCCAGGATGGGCCCATGGCGGGCACCTGGCCCTAAGGTACCCAACAGGGGGCTCGCTTTCCCAGCCGATCCTTTGCGTCAGCAGCAGGGCCCGACCAGGGACAAGGAGCCTTGGACAGAGGACATTGCTGTGCTGCTGCTTCACCTGCCACTTCTTGAGAGCACCCCATTTGTCTGATCCTTGGTCTGGGGAAGAAGCATTGAGCTCAGTATTCTCTTCAGTGGGAAGACATCACCTGGCTCTCTTTTCCCACATTCCCATCTCCAGGAGTTCAGTCAGTGGTCTGCTCTCTTTGCAACTACGAGAAGAAAGGCCAACCCTGCCTGTGGCTGGAGTAGGGCAGGTGTGAGGAGTTGGAAGGAGCCCTGTGCACTCACTGCCTCTCACTTGTTGAGTTGGCTCCCAGAGGCCTCTCCCTCCTTTCAAGTCTTCTAGGATCCTTCCTAGTGCCTCGAGGGACCTGCCTGCCTGGGCCCCTCCCCTGCCTATGGAAAGCCAGACAGGAGAACGAATAGCAGTTTCTTTCCACCATGGAGACGCTCTAACCTCTTAATCTGGCTCACGGTGGCAGAAATGTAACATGGAAGGGGAGCCAAGGAAAGAGAGTTGCATCTACTCTGAAAGCAGACTTTGTGGTTTTCCATTCACCCCCAAATGCAGAAGAATCACGACCGTGCTCACAGGTCTAATCCATTGCCAGGTTCCCGCGTGCGGTCTAGAGCACCTCCATCCTCCTTGGCCATCGCTCATCCAGGGTCAATGTAAAATTCAGAGTGCATCCAGGAGATTCTACCTCCAGCCGTCTCCATGGCTCCACCCCCACAACCCTTCCTGAGGACTCCACAGAGGTTGGGGCAGACAGCCTCGCCCTGCCCCCCTGCAGAATCTGGTGCCATTGCTGTGCAGATGACTTTGTCACTGGACTGTCCAGAACCCTTTGGGAATTACTTCATCAACATCTCAGCGCTATCTTTAGTCACTCCCTTCATCTCTCAGTGGGCATCATTAAGGGATCCACATAGCACAAGGCCCGTAGAGACTAATGAAGATGCCAGCCACACTCAGCTCCCAGCTCTCCACATCTGGGAGGGACCAGAGCATCACACTGAAGGACCTGGCTGGAAATGGGAGAAGGGACATACAACAGACCTGGGCCCTGGCATCTGCCTCTCCATCCGTCCTTCCATCTGTGGACACACCACTTTAGCTAGTCAGGCAGATGTGTGCTCGCTAGGTGAGGGCTAGGTGAGCTGGGGCTATGGGGAGAGATGGTCTAATGCATGGTCACGGAAGCCTGTCACTTCCAAGGGACTTTAGACACATCCGGTCCAGTCTCCCATAGAAGCAAGAGTCTGTCCTGGCAGTGCTGGTATCCAGTTTTCTGCCACCCTGGGAGACAAGGCAGAGCACCGTCTAAGGTGGGGCTGAGGATGAGGCTTCCACAGTCTGGCCCTCACTCCCCCAGACTCTGACATCATCCCCTGCCATCCGCTGAAAACGAAGCCCCACGTGGGAGGGGACGGAACCGCACTGTTGCCAGCAAAGTCTATGGAGCATCCTGTTCTCTCCAGAACGTTGACCTCTGTGGAGGGGAACACGTATGCGTGTCCGTGAGCTCGTATGTGCACCTGTATGTGTGAGCATGTATGTGTGTCTGCCCCGGGAGGAGGCAGAGTGCTCAGAACGATTTCTTGTCCTAGGTAGGAGTATTTGGGAGTGTTTCCCTTCTCTTGCTTATCATTCATTCTGCAGCTTCAGGGCATTTCAATGCTTGCTTTCTATGCTGATTGCTGGGGGTTGGGGGGGTGCAAGGAGAGGTCAGCTCGCCTAGGAAACCAGGGTGGTCACTGGCCCAGGCCTGGACTTGACTGGAGGCCGAGCAGCGGTGACCCGCAGGGCATCGCGGGGCATCAAGGTGGACAAAGAGTGGACAGAACCCCAAGTTACCTACCCAAGGGAAAGTGGGGGATGGCAAAGATGCGTGTCAAGGGGGAAAATAACCAAAAGTTTTGGCGAGTGAAGTCCAAGGAGAAGGAGCAGGAGTTTCTAACCTTGATTGTTTTCTTCGTCCCAAGAAGCCGGGGGCCTGGCAGCCAGGAAGGACGCACGGGGAGGCAGCCGAGGAAGCACTGCCTTGTTCACGAAAATATTTTTGCACATGTGAGGGTCAGGGAGGAGAGAGACACAGACATATTTAACACAGATTTGCTGAATGGAAGCTGCGTGTGTGTGTGTGAGTGAGTGTGTTTCGATTTATTTTTTAAGTTTTGCACAGTTAGAAAAAAATGAACAAGCAGAAGAAAAAGACTGTCCTCCTGGGTCTGCGGAAGCGTTTATTTTTTACCAGATTATTATTATTGTTATTGTTCCTTTGTCGGTACAGAACATTTTCCCCCCATGTTTTTTTTTTTTTTTTCAGAAGAGCCCCTGCAGACACCTCAGAGAAACGTCAGGAAGGAGAGGCGGGCACGCACGGCCCTCGCCCTTGCCCCTCTGGGGAAGATTTCATTGTCTCGGCCGGGGTGGGGCTGCTGGTGCCTTGGCTGCCCACACCTCGGCCTTCTTGGAGGTGGCGAAATGGAACAGGGCAGGGGGAAGCACAGCCCGTCTCGCCCGTAACTATTCTCGTCCCTTTCGATGTCTGTTTTCTGTTTCTTCCGTTTGGCTTCTCAGTGCACGTGTGATATGTTTCAGAGTAAAGATAAGGCAGCACGGTCAAAAATGCTGTCTATTCCCCCCCAGATCTTCTTTCCAAACCTTTCCTCGGGATCCCCCATCTGCTCCTGGCAGATCGGACACTCTGAGAGCTGCCTGAGTGGCTCGTAGGCCAGTCCCGGCCAGAGGAGGGACGCGCGCAGCCTGGTCCTGGGGCGGGAGGCGCTGCTCTCCGTCACGGCTCACGTGCGGGGTCACCGTTTGTTTAAGGTGGGACCTTTATCTGCATCCTTGAATCCTGGGCCCGGAGCACGGAGATGTGGCCATCCCCGCCCACCCCCTCCTCCCCTGGGACCACCAGGCCACAAAGCGGCCACGAGTCTTGTGTTCCAAAGGGCCGCTGCATTTGGTGAGCTTCGAATGTCAGAGGGAGGTGGCCTGAAAGGGGGTGGGGGGTGGGGAGCTTTATGGGGTCCTGAACTTGATAGGTAGACAGAAGCTGAGAAGATAGCTGCAGGTTGGGCACTTCTCTCGAGGACACGAGTCTCCCCAGAGGAGGGCTTTGTCATTCTCTGTCCCTTATACAGAGAGCCTGGCATTTCTTGGTACCTGCAAATGGTGTTGTTAAGTGAAGTTGGGGCTATTGGGTCAGTTACTTCCTCAGGAAAATACTTCTTGCCTTCTTCCCTCAGTGAGGTTTTAAATTTGGGGACGAGATAACCTGAGTGTCCCACCCACCAAGGTACGTTCACACCCTAAGAGACAGACGCCTTGACCCTCCCCCAAGTGAACCTGCAGGCCACTGAGTGGGGCCCACGACCCTTGAGCAAGGCTGTGACCAGACACAGAAGTCATTTTTAATCAATCCAGTGTTTGAGGTCATCTGTGCAGGAAGCAAGAAGTGGAAAGAGCCCTTTAGGTGAGGTCTTCGGCCCCGCTCTCACCCCCTAGTTCAGGTTGATGTGGACTCTCCGGTACCCCAGGTCCCTGTGCTCATGTCCCCTTTGCACGTCTGGCGTCTGAGTGTCCCCTCCTTGCCCCTCTTGCCCACCTCCTGCACACATAGCCTCTGCACCCAGGCCTTGTCCCTTGTAGGGTATAGGAGTTGCCTGGCCCCTCTGTGGGCAGCTGGGGCCTCACGTTCTCCCAGCGCTGCCTCCCTCAGTCGTGGGGCTCCTTGTCCAGCCAGGGCCCTGTGGATCCCCCCTCCAAGGAGCCACAGCAATTAGTTGTCCAAATGACCCCCAATCCAAGAGGCAAGTCCTGCTGATGTTTCCAGAAGCCTAAATGGTGCTGGGCAGAGGTACCACTGTGAGGCACCACTCACTTGGACCTAAAGGGAAAGTCCTATTTTCCATCTGTCTCCTTTCTCAGGAATAAAGGGACACTTCTTTTGTCTTCAGAGGCTGCAAGTCAAAGACTTAGCCAAGGGAAAGCTGAGGTTAATTATCATTAATGAGAAGCAAACGTTGCCACCTCACAGAGAGCCTAGGAGGCGGGAAAGTGCAGGAGCTGTCCTGCAGGCAGAAGGCCTGGCCCATAGCCCTTCCTTCTTGGGCCAGGCCCCTCCCTTCCAGGATTGGGCCACCCCAATGGTCATCTCAGACCAAGTCCGAAAGTTTTCTGAGAGGCAGTTCTGTGAACGAACAGTCTCCAGGTACCACAAGCCCCTGGTGCAGACTCCACACCGGGCAGACCCTACATCCTTCCTGGCTTCCCTCTTGTTCCCAGTCCATGGAAGGCCTCTCAGCTCCCCACTCTTGTGGTCAGCTCTCAGGACAAGGCACTGAGGCCCCTGGTCCCTCAGCTCCTCTTATTAAAAGAAAAAGCAGAGGATATGTCATTGTTCCTTTTCTGTTGGTGCATTTAGGCAGCCCAAGATTAAGGAAAGAGTCTGGGTGTGGATATGAAGTCCAAATTACTGGGAAGAAAAGCAAAAACCCTTTATCTGTTATTTCCAAGGCAGTGGGGAGAGACTCAAGGCCGGGGTGAGGCCTCCCTCATTATTAAAAAATGGGTCAGGACCCCCCCAGGTGTAGAGGGCCAGGGGAAGCATCCTCGTGGCTGCTGTGTTCCTGATGCTACCCCTGGAGCCCGAGACCCTGCCCCTCCTCTTGCCCTCCTGCCACCTCCCCACCCATGGGTGTAGCAAATGAGAGCTGAAGTCCCACTGCAGGTGACACTGAAGAGGCAGCTCCGAGAGACCCCAGGACTCCACAAGGCTCTTGGTGCTCTGAGGGTGGCAAAACCCCTCCCAGAAACAATGCCAGCCCCCCCAACCCAGAAGGAATCCACAATAAAAGTTTCAGACATTCAAAGAGATCTTTTTTAAAAAAAGTCAAATTTTTGCTCCCCAATAAAATGGTTTTTTCTATTAGGTGGAGTACCCAACTTCATAAAATATATAGGATTTTAGGATTATAAAAGTAATACTCATTAGAGTTCCAATTAAATTCTTTTTCCAGTTCAATTCTTTGAGTAGACTGGTGACAACCCAAATCAAAGCTAAGTGAAACAGAACAAAATGCCTAATGGATAAAAAGACTTTCTATTTGTATTGGCAGAGATAGTGAGGTGGGCCAGCGGCCAGGTACCCACCTTCGCTCTGTTCGGTCTTGGTCTCGGGGCTGCCCCTGGTGCTGCTGGGTCCTGCAAGTTCCTCTCCAGCTTCCCTGCAAATACAGGGACACCCTGTTAGGGATGGGTCATGCAGGGACCCACGTACCCTCCCCCAAGAACACGCATGCTCATGGAAACTGACTCAGTCTATGCAGCTCATTTCCACCCGTTTCTATACCTGGAGTTAGAACTTCTTTTGTTCATAACATTGATTTGCAATTCCAGCACATTCTGGAAGGGCTCCCTTGTAAGAGCAGAACTCAAAACAGAGGATACAGTTAAAGAGCAAAGCAAAGGACACTCAGAAACTGAGACCACAACCCAGCAGACTAGAGAACACAGTTCAGGCACCAAATCAGATGGGACAGGGGACCCCATGTTTCCTCCCTCGCCCTTCCCTGATGTTCCCGTCAGCTCGTCGGCTCGTCAAACCTTCCGTTCTTTAAAAAGAAAAGCTAGTTTACCTCAAAGAATCTTGTTTCCATTTGGAAACCAACGACTTTGTGTTTTAGAGTGCATGACCCTCCCCCTCTATCACTCCCTGCCTGGGCCTGGGGTCCTTGGGGTCTGAGGCCCTGCACGCTGTGCTGGCTGCATTGACCAAGAATGAGGCTCCCCGGCCTGAGATGGGAAGGAAGGATTGGATGCTGCTGCCCTCCTCCCCATGTTCGCTTTGTAGGGACCAGCCTATCTCTTCCAGCAAGGTCCTGCCAAGTTACTATAGCAACCAGCAACTCCAGAGTACAATAGACAATGGCTCAGTGAGCCAGGTGTGGGGGGAGAGGGGTCTGGCCTGGTCAGATGACCCGGAGTTAAGAGAGACAGGAATGGATGAATGGCCTTGAAGGAGGTGGAGCGTTCCTGGTCCTCCCTCCTTCCAACCCTGCCGCCCCATTTCTGTTTCCATAAAGCTCCCACCTTGAACACTGACCCTTGGTGAAAACAACGCAAACCACATCTGTAGACAACAGTGTTATACTGAGCCTCAAAGACAGGTGGATGAAATCTATTAGAGGAAGAGGTGTCTTCTGGTTTTGACTCCTAAAGAAGAGTATCCTAGTCAGATGAAAATCAGATTTAAAAAAAAAAGTTTTTAAAAAAGAAACCCATGCTATTTAAATTGGAGCCCAGTTGTAACTTGGTAAAGGCAAGCTTCTGTACCTTTGTTATAATTAATTGTATACCTGTGTATGTAAATATAAGGCATTCCTATTTTGCAGTTCAGAACAAAAAAAAAACCTATTTGTAATATAGAATAAAGTTTATTAAAAAATAATAAAAATGCAGTTTGGGATCTGGGTTTTTCTTTGGATGTCTGGCTGGAAGGGAAGGGCGAGCCTGGCCAGGAGTATGAAGTGGCCTCTGTGGCTTAGAGATCCAGCATCTTCTCTCTCCAGCTACAACACCTCAGCTCAACCACTGGAGATGATTCCTTTCACTTGAGGCGCTGCTCTCCATGACAAAGCAGCGGTCTCTGGGGTTGTAAGGGAGGGACAATGTGCTACTAGTTAGAGCTACCAACAGACCAGACATCACATTTCTACCTAACCTGCTCAGCCTCTGAGTCCTTCTCAACACAGCCCTCCAGGGAGACACCCCAAACTATGTATGACTGAAGACACAGGGTTATCCCTGGTGGCGCAAGGAGTTAAGTGTCAGCACTATGAAGCTGTCCGCAGCCACTGCAACACGAGTGCGATCCCCAGCCAGGGAGCTACCCACATGGCGCGGCAGACCTCTCCTGACTCGCCCGCTGCTCCCCTCAGCAGTGTATTTCAGTCAATCTGCCTTCTCTGTTCCTGGCTCTGTCTCTGGTGAATCCTCTCACCCCCACACTTCTGGCCTGTACCCCAGTTCCTGTATGCATATATAAATCTTTAAAAAAAAAAAAAAAAGAGGGAAAAGGGAAAGACAGAAGCAGGAGATGGAAAGATTAAGGAAGGAAGATAGCAAGGAGACCCTGGCATGACCCAACAGCCATAGGACTGCAGGGTGTTACCCCTGCCCCCTCGGTGCTGCCCGCCTCTAGACTCCTCTGCCTTCAAATCTGAGCTCTCCTGGGATGTAAGTAGAGGGTATTTGCAGGGGAATGAGGGAAGGGGAGGGACAGAGGGAGAAAAGGGGGATGTGGGTACTTCTGGGGGTCACAGAGACAAGGGGCAAATGTCAGGAGATAACTTGGTGAGATGTCCAGGGACCCAGTCTTTGTCCTGCCCCGAAACACTGCCCCACCTTCCAGAAGAGATTCCTTCTCAGGTGCGAGGACTTATTGAGGGGGCACAACCAGAGGCAGGAGCCTGAGATGCCCAGGCTTGGGAACACCCATAGCCTGGACAGTCAATGTGAACAGAACCCCTTCAACCTTGGGACAAGGTGAGAGCAGACAACACCTGTGAGGAAACCTGGGGTGAGTGAGTGGAGACCTAGCCCAGAGTGAACGGATCAAGATCGACAGAGTGGGTTTTAATAGTTTCAACTCACAGGAAAATGAAATCCACCAACAGGAAAGAGACGGTGCCCTTCCCCAACGCTGTGAGGCAGGCAACAACCCGGCGGGGATGTCGTTCTGAAAGTGGGGCCTGGGATTCCACATGACGTCAAGTTCTGCCAGGTCCCCAGGCCCCTTCACTTGTGTGATCTCACACTTCATCACAACCTGCACCGTGACCTGGAGTGGGTGGCTCACTTCTCAGGGATTGTGTTTCCTTTTTCATCAACCAAGACAGTTCTAATGTTCTGTGAAGCCCAGGAGATTGTGGGGCGCGCCAATTGAGGGAATTCAAGTGAGGGGGCCCAGCGCACTGCAAAGGGCTCTACGTGCCTGCATATTATGATTAGTCACAAAGTTGATATTTTGCAAACAAAAACGTGGGTTGGGCCTCAATAGCACTTGTGAAATGGATGCTGTGCTCATCCGTTTGGGTTGCCATGATGGAGGCATTTCTCTGAAGGGAGCAAGTCCCAGATCCAGGCACAGGTACTGGCTTCTGTGAGGTCTCCCTTCTGGTTGGCATGCAGGACCTTCTGTGGCCTGGTCCTTCCACGATGCATGAGTAGAGAGAGAGCGAAATCTCTGCTGTCTCTTCTTATTAGATACTAATCCTATTAGATTAGGGTCCTACTCTTACAACCTCATTTAACCTTAATTATTTCCTAAAGGCCCTATAACCATATTTCGTCACCTTGGGGATTAGTGCTGAATGGGGGAGGGGAGAAGTTGGGGGCACATCTCCATAGGAGATGCCCTATTTATTTATTGCAGAAAGGGAAGTCACCTTATGAAATATGTATACGTTTTGATAGCTTGACTATGAGACCACTGAAGGCAGAGACCATCATGTTTCCCAAGCTTAACAAGCATCCAGCATGGAACAAGTGCTCCTCAATCATGAAGGGGGTGGGACAAAGGGACAGAAGTAGGACAAAGCCAGCAGCTGCCGACTTGTTCCCTGGGTTATCTTCCCCACTGTGACCAGCATGCCCTCCGTTCATGTCCACATCAGGCCACACCCTCCCTCCCAGGAATAGTTAATGTTGAGGAAATGGAAACTTCCTAACCTTCCTGAGTTGCCGGGACTGGCCGTCTCTCCCAGGTAGAGACCAGGACCTGTAGTTAAACCTTCCAGGGGGTCAGCAGAGCTGCTCATGCAGGGGCAGAGGAAATGGAAGTAGGTCCCTTCTGCACCAGCCACCTTCCTCAAACCTGCTTTTGTTTTAGCCAAACCCCCACCTGAACACTGACACTGAGTCTGCAGGTCTGCTATGAGTAACTGCTAATCCCGAAGGCAGGTGTGTGTGTAGCTGGTCTACAGTGTGTGGTTGACAAGTCGCTTCATCCCTGCTTCCCACCCCAGTAACGGAGGCTGGCCAAATCACTTGCACTGAGGCCATGAAATATGAATGCTAGGAATATGTTGCCAGCAGTTCTCCACCATTAGCGCTCCACCATCACTGCTCCAGCGGCAGTGCTCCTGCAGCAGAGCTCCACCAGCAGTGCTGCAGCAGTAGAGCTCCAGCAGCAGAGCTCTACCAGCAGTACTCTGGCAGCAGAGCTCCAGCAGCAGAGCACCAGCAGCAGTGCTGCAGCAGCAGAGCTCCAGCAGCAGAGCAGAGCCCAGCAGCAGAGCACCAGCAGCAGTGCTCCAACAGCAATGCTCCAGCAGCAGAGCTCAGCAGCAGAGCTCCAGCAGCAGTGCTCCAGCAGCAGAGCTCCAGCAGCAGTGCTCCAGCAGCAGCTCTCTGTCATCTGGGACCACAGAAAGAGGACAATGATGACACAGAGCGGAGCCACAAATGACCCTGAGGTTATGTCTTATGAGCAGACAAATCAATCTTTGCGTTTTGCATCACTGATGGGTGAGGGCTGCTGGTGGCCGCAGCAGTCCCTGGACTGTCTTGACTGCTACAGCCCACACAAGGTTCCATGTGACCAGTAGGGCGCTCCTTACCCAAGAGGTGATGAACGAAGTCTTAGCTTCACCTACAGAGAACTATTCTTTTGACCTAAGTCTTCTTATTAGAAGTCATTATTGGCTATTTACACTCAATGGGAATCATTTTGTGGAAGTTCCTAATCTTCCGGAGCTGCATTTTGGGGCTGATTAGGGAAGAGGAAGATTTGGGAAAGAAGCAGCACATGTAAAGAAAAGGGGGAGAAGGAAGCGGAGCTGAGTGGAGGAGGGGAGAGGTGGGGAGGCGAGCGCCTCCTGACATGTCTGTGCTGGAGGTTTCCTGCCTCGTGATTGTCCAGCCTGCCTGTTGGCGGGCGGGGGGGTGCGCCAGCCCCGTGGAAGTCACATCCCAGCATCACACACAGCCCTCAGGGGAAGCTGTCTTTCCATCTAGGGATGAATCCAACCAACACTATTTTAAAACATGATCTACAGGGTTCTGTGTACTTGGATTTTGATCAAGGATCAGACATCAAAAAAGCAGACTCATCTTTGCTAGGGACACAGACCAAGGTCCTGGCTCTTATGACGGGGTCGTTAGCAGCCATGATGACATCGCCTGTGATGTCCAGAAAGGCCCATTCGCAGATGCTTTTCTATTGCCACCTGCTTCTAATAAAGTCCTGATGACCCTTCTAAGACACAGGTGGTGGGGAGGGGGGTAGGTCACGCCCCAACATAAGGAGGGCCTTCTTGTCCCTGTTCCCCTTTGAAGCACAGACCTGGACTGCTGCTTCCCTGCCTTCCAAATTCCCAAACATCCTCCAGTCAAGCCTGGCTAACCCTGGAGGGACCAGTGCAGTCCTGGGGGCATCAGGAAGTAGAGCAGCCACACAATGGAGACTGGCGGGTCCCCAGGCTGTGCTCTGGGCCCCAGTCACCAAAGCTCATTCTGTTTTCTTTTTTTTCTTTCTTTTTTTTTAAGATTCATTTATTCATTTATACAAGCACTGGGTACAGTCAGAAGCACAGGAGGGTGAGAGGATTCACCAGAATCCCCGCCAGAGCGGGGAGCAGAGCAGGCAGAAGGACCGAAGTACACTGCTGAGGGGAGCAGCGGGAGGCAGGAGGGGTCTGCGCGCCATGTGGGACCCTCCTCCGGTGGCCGGGGAGCAGCCAGGGATCAAACCAGTGCTGCAGAGGCTGCGGGCAGCTTCACAGCCCAGCGCTCAACCGCTGCGCCACTGGGGAGGCCCTCATTCTGTTTTCTTAATGAAGAAGCTTGGTGGCCTCCCTGGGTTTGGCTTCGTGTACTGACCTGAACCCCACAGCATCCTTCTCGTCCCTTCCTCCACTGTGGCTTGCCTCCCGCTTTATGAGTCCCTGTGGGCAGTGCAGGCGAAGCTCCAGGAAGCCAGAATGGTGAGCCCCTCACCTGGGCTAACAGCGGCGGCCTCTATCCCCAGGACCAATCTCCAAATCCCTCCCTGGCAGCCTTAACATTCTCTGCATGCACCAGGGGTGAAGGTATGCCCACTGCTGCCCAGCCCTGTTCCCTGGGGCAAGTTCCCGACAGTCTCAGGTTTCTTATTTGTAAAGACGAGAATAATGAGGCCTTCCTTATAGAGTCACTGAGATTATCAGGTGAGGTTAGGATTACAGACCACTGAAAGCAGACGGCAGCTTTTAGTGTGGAGTGGCAGGTCCTCAAGGAACCTTCTCAAAACCCTCCCCACTGCCACCCAGTTTCTCTCTCTAGTCTGGGCCAGCACCCAGCTAGCGTTGGCTCTTAAAGTGTGTTCAATGAAAGGATAAAATAAAGTTGGCGTAAGAATTTCTCCACGGCTCAAGTGCTGAAATACAATATGGGCCATAGCTTTGCAACCAAGTATAAAA